TATATTAACCAAAAACGGTAAAAAAATTCGTTGAAAAATTGATTTTTGAAAAGTTGCTTCAAAATCCTCAAAAAAACTTGATAAAGGCATAAATTTCGACGCGCTTATTTGAGAATATAATGTGTTGATAGTTCCGGAGTAAGAGTTTCGAAAAATTTTGTTTGAAAATGATTTTTTTAATATCTTGAAAGCTCCAAAAACTGTGCGTTATATTAACCAAAAACGGTCAAAAAAACTGTTGAAAAATTGAGATTTTTGAAAAGTTGCCTAAAAATCCTCAAAAGATTTTGAGAAATATACTTCGACAAGCTCTCCGAAATTCTCATTTTCCATTTTATACGTTCTGGAAGAGTTGTGGGAATTTTCGAAGAAATAAAACCGAAAATAGCATATACAAGTCGAAATCTACAAGAAAATAACTTTAGATAATTTCAGAAGTTGAAGGAGTAATATGTACTGCGTAATACTAATAACAATAACAATAATTCCAAAATTCATTTTGAGCCACTCTATATAAGCAATTCTAAAAAATTCAAAAGTATTTTGGTCAACCACAACTCTAGACCATAATACCGCTTGATCAGAAATGTTGGGAGTATTTTTTAAACAAAAACGTGACCTTTTCTTGCGTTTATCTTGGTATAACGAAAGTAACCGTGTGACAGATACCTCAATTGTGATGTGCGATAAATTTAGGTTATGTTTTGGATACATTTTGCAAATTAAAAATGTCAACAATCTGTCAATCTTGACAACTGAATTCAATTTCCCCAATTGAGATCTTTGAAAAATCCCCGTAAAATTTTGAAAATACATTTCGAGGAGCTTATTCGAGAACATAACCTGCTGATAGTTTTTGAAAAAATCGGTTTGAAAATGATTTTTTTTTATCTTGAAAGTTCCAAAAAGGGTCAAAAAATCCGTTGAAAATTTGATATTTTTGAAAAATTGCTTGAAAATTCTCAAAAATTTTATTTGAAAATGACATTTTTTTAATATCTTGAAAGCTCCAAAAACTGTATGTTATATTAACCAAAAACGGTAAAAAAAAATTCGTTGAAAAATTGATTTTTCAAAAGTTGCTTCAAAATCCTCAAAAAAATTTGATAAAGGCATAAATTTCGACGCGCTTATGTGAGAATATTGATATATATATATTGAAATTTGATAGTTCCGGAGTAAGATTTTCGAAAAATTTAGTTTGAAAATGATATTTTTTTAATATCTTGAAAGCTCCAAAAACTGTGCGTTATATTAACCAAAAACGGCGAAAAAAACTGTTGAAAAATTGAGATTTTTAAAAAGTTGCCTAAAAATCCTCAAAAAAATTTGAGAAATATACTTCGACAAGCTCTCTGAAATTCTTACTTTCCATTTTATACGTTCTGGAAAAGTTGTTGGAATATTCGAAGAAATAAAGCCGAAAATAACATATACAAGTCGAAAATTGTTTTGAGCCACTCTATATATGCAATTCTAAAAAATTTAAAAGCATTTTGATCAATTACAACTGTAGACCATAATACTTGACCAGAAATTTTGGGAGTATTTTTTAAACAAAAACGTGATTTTTTCTTGCGTTTATGTTGGTATAACGGAAGTAATTGAGTGACAGATATGTCAATGGTGATATGCGATAAATTTAGGTTATGTCTTGGACACATTTTGCAAAAAATAAAAATGTCAACAATCTGTCAATCTTGACAACTGACAACCGGAAATTACAGAAAACTTTAAATAATTCACACGTATTTCCTAAAATTTTTTGATAATTTTAAGTCAGTGTTTAAAATTTTGAAAAACTTCAAAAAATTTTGGAAATACATTTCGGGGAGCTTATTCGAGAACATAACCTGCTGATAGTCTTGGATCAAAGTTTAAAAAAAAAATCGGTTTGAAAATGCTTTTTTTATCTTCAAATTTCCAAAAAGGGTACGTAATATTAACTAACAAGGGTCAAAAATCCTCAAAAAAATCAGATTTTTGAAAACTTGCCTAAAAATCCTCAAAAAATTTTGAGAAATGCATTTCGACAAGCTTATTCGAGAACATAACGTATTGATAATTTCTCACTAAGATTCTTGAAAAAATCTGGTTTAAAAATGTATTATTTTTTTTAATATCTCGGAAATTCTCATATTCCATTTTATCCGTTCTGGAAAAATTGTTGGAACTTTCAAAGAAATAAAACCGAAAATAACATGTACAAGTCGAAATCTACAAGAAAAATAAATTTAAAATGTCAACAATGTGTCAATATTGACAGCCGACAACCGGTCATTACAGAAAACATCATGATACCAATTTCAACTAAAAATCCAGGATTGCCAACAGACTCAGTAATTTCTGATCACGCGGTATTTATAAAAACCATGAATGCATTGATAAATTACAAGCATGGAGTCACAATATTTTAGATAGGATTTTTCGGCAAAATTTTGAAATGACGTCATTAACTTTTTACAAGGGTTAAATGGATCTAGATGACAAGGAAGCACATGAGGAGCAGAATGAACCACAAGAAATAGAAACAATACAAGAAGAAAAATTATCAGAAGCCAAACGAAAAACAAAATTAGAAAAACCACCGGAGAGATCGAAAAAGGGTTTGACCGAATAAAAACTGAAAACATGGAAAACAGCAGAAAATCTGCAAAGTAATTTAGAAATCTTAAATAGAGAGATATCAAAAATAAATATGAAGATAAACCACAAAAAACAATAGAATAAGTACAAAATTACAAATATTTGGGAACAATAATACAAAGCAACAAAACACAAATGTTTAACTGGATGGGAACAGCATTCCTAGGAAAAAAGCAAATACAAAAACAAATAAAAAGAGAAATAGTGGAAAAAGTAGTAAGACCAGTTTAATGTATAGTAGTGAAACAGTTGACGAAAAGATGCAGAAACCCAACTTTATCCATCTTACACTTCACTTAATTTCTAACCAATAATAATAATGATGATTATAACCAGACAAGAAATTTTCTCGTTTATCTAATCGAAACATTATGTAACACATTTTCCAAGTGTCAAGGCTTCCCGGAAACGCCTCCCAGACCTAAATTTTGACTTTTACGTCCAAACACGAAAGGAACTCCTAGAATGTGGCATTCTGGCTCCGAAAGGTCACGATTTCATCTTCCTCTTTGTGCTCATCTCTCCACACCATACGCAACCCACAATTAAAATTACAACAATTAACCTTGCAACCAGCTTCTAGAAAGTGCAAATTCTTTCAATTTTGCATTTTTCCAGCCTCGGCTCGTGCTATTTGCATAAATAGCAACCAGTGCACTTGCAATTTGCCACCATTACGTCGACTTTTTTTCCGGTGAGTTTTGTAACTCGTTTTATAATGGACTCAAAGTGACATAAAACGCTTGTTTACGGCGCAATTATTTATGGTGTGCACGCACTGATAATTATTGTTTATATTATTTGCATCTTGATGACTTTTACGGAACGAATTTGCATACAATGTTGAATTTTGTAAGTTTTAGGAGGCGTAAGCCGAGATTTTTGCCGAGATTCCAGAGTGGGTGGTAATTAATTTTGAGAGAAAGTCAATTAGATCATACGTGTAGAAGATGTTGCGTAATTGACACGAAAAGGTGATGATGCGGGCTGGAGATAAGCAGGTGACCAACTTTTAATTTTTGCCTAGTGTAAACTTGGAACGAAATTTTTGTTGACGTTTCTTGTAGTATGAGCTTTCTCGGTGATGAATGACTGATTTGGTTTTTTTGAGCAATTATAGGAATTTTTTGCCAGCTTTCCTATTTCCGAGCTAGTGAAGAACAAAAAGGAAGAGTTTGATGCCCTGAAAGATAATCTTGAGACTGCTGTAGCGTGTCGAGAGTGTAGGTCACATGATTTTTTATTTTTATCAGGATACTAAACCTGTGGCTAGTTTTTCTGGGGAAAAGCACCTGTCATCAATTAATTTTGTTTGAAATGACTTTAAAATTCCGATCAATTTATACACAATTGTCACGGGAAGCTAAATTTGACTGCTAGAATTACGTAACCCACAAACAACCATTACTTATCCATTGTTTTATTATACGTAGTAAAATTATTTTAATTAAGTTAATCACAGCTAGTTCATTACGGTAACGTCACACTAATTAGTAAACAACGATCATTCGTTCACTTTTTCAGTATAGAACTAAGAACGTCATTAATAAGGATGCTAATCGTCACACTTTAAATTAGTTAAACGTCACTCACAAAAAATAAACGAAGTGTACCTAATTTCGTGCTATTTGTTATTTCTATACAACCCAAAATAAAGTGCCAAAAACAAAACAAATTTGGTTTTTTGCGTTTTACACCTATTTGAACTGCAAATTGTCAATACATTTGAAATTACCGAGACAAAACAAATCGACGGAAATCCACACAACACCAGCAATAAAGACCTTGAAGGTCACTCCAAATAGCTGATGCATTACGGAAGACCAATCAGCGGAACTCAAAAAAAGCTGACTTAGCACGAGTATGTAAATCGATAGTCAAGGTCCCGACCCTCACACACAAAAATTTGTTTTGACAAATTACAAACAAATTGTTTCCTTCTGACTCGAAAACGAATCTCTCTGGACCTCGTTGCAAGATTACTTTTAGTCATACGCCTTTAACCAGAGCTTACTCAGTCAAGCTTTGGAACGTGGGCCAATTAAAAATTACCAATCGCCGTCACGGCTTTTAATGAAACACTGTTCATTTATGAAAACGGTACCAAATTTAAACATTCCTCGCCATTTAGCTGGTATTTGCCATTTAAATAATAACAGTAAGTAACGGTAAACCCAGCGCGACGTTCTTTGTCTTAAGAAAGTGACTAACGCCGTACTTAAGCACCTAATTAAGGCGCCTCAAAATAAGTCACTTTACTAAATCCGAGCTGCGCCGATAATTACCTTGACGTAATTACTGAGAATTCCTCGCTTACGAAACGCGTTGGCGCTAATGCGAAAATCGCTTCTCACCTGTATATTAGTCCTCTTAACTTCTATGTAAAGCCAATTATCTGTGGCAAAAGCGATGGCCAACAAGGCGACGGCGATGATGGAAGTGATCGTGGCCAAACTCAAAGTGACTGCAGAGCACGGCATTTTAAATAAATAGGGGGATTTACACACAACAACACCAATAAACACCAAAAACACGCGAAAATTTAACGGAAGTGTCTTCAACTCCGGCTCATGTTAGTGATACGTGTATGAACCGCTGTTACCACCGCCGCAACGAACAACAAACTCTGAAAGTGGTCCTCGGCAACGACACTACCTGCTTGAGGAAACGCCAAGAACCTGTTTCATACCTGCGCAAGAAGCCCGTGAAAGCGCGGCCCACAATGTGGTCAATCCGAGTTTTATTGGTTGCCTATAGACCGATAAATCCTGAAAACACGAAAAGGATAACCAAAAATTGTTAATTATGCATTTATTTCGATACAATAATTTAGCAAAACATGATTCCGGCAGTTAATACACATAAATCAGAAGCTTACCCGTGGAACGAGCAATGCTGGTTGCATACATTTACAAAAATGTGCAACTTAAATTTTGTTTACAAGAATAACTAAAATTTATTTATTTAGCTTTTAATTTGACAGAAAAATAACTACAAATTTTTGTACTGCAGGCTAACAGTAATATAAAACTCTTGGTGAGTGTAATAAGGAGAAATCTTCTGTATAATTCACCAATCATGATCCTCTACGCTACGCTGTCGTAATATTGGTTGCCTATCCCCCTCCTAATTTCCAAATACGAAAAAACTAAAAATCTGAAAATAACCTCAAAATACAAAATAAAATAAACATTACAACATAAAATCGCACAGTTAAGTGACTTCCTACCCCCTTTTCTCAAATTCCAACATGACACCGAAAAATTATTTGCTCTACGATGACGTCACACTCACAAGGACGCCGGTTATTGATTTTTAGGAGGTTATGTTTAGGGGGTGATTTTAGCCCCCTGAAGCCTCAAACCATGCCTACCGAATAAATCAAGTCGCCTAACCCTCAAAACCGCCATGGAAGCCTGCGCAACCCCCAAGAACCCGTACGAAAATGCCGTTTTTGCTGTGCAAAAGCAAGTTTTGGTTTTTGAGGGTTCCTTCAATGAAAGTTTCGACGTCAAGGAAGAACACGAGAATTTTTCTAGTCTACAGAGTGATCGCGATGAAAACTTAGAACCCCAGTGTGTCAAGTCTGAGAGTAACGATGCAAACGAGGAAATGAAGTTGGGAGATGATTCCTACAACGAAACCACTGTGTATAAATGTAGTATATGTGACGAGGAGTTTAAGGTTTTTGTGGAGTACAGAGCCCATAGGAAGCAGCATTTTGTGGAGAAACGAACGTGTAAGATGTGTCACATGGTGTGCCAAAGCGTTAGTAAGTTGGAAATTCATATGAATGCCCATTTGGGGTTGAAACCTTATAAGTGTACAGTGTGTGAGAAGGGGTTTGTGTCGAGGAATCAGCTGAAGTTGCATGGGAGGTGCCATTCTGATGAGAAGAAGTATTCGTGTACTAAGTGTATTAAGGCGTTTCGGAATCTGGGGTCATTGAGGAGTCACATGGTTGTGCACAATAATATCAAAGAACTTGAATGCAAGGTAGGATTTTCGTTAGTACAACTATTTAAAATCGTAAAATAATATGCTATTTTATATATCATTAGTGGTACTTTTTCTTTGTTGTTAAATTTAGTTGCGCGATTTTGATTTTTTTTTCCAAGAACCTACATATTCAAGCCTGGATTATTAAAGCACATATTTCTAAGCATATTTTGCACATTTTAAATATTGTTATTACTTAGCAAAGTTTTGAGATGACTTCAGCACATTTTTGGTGGGGATAAACAATAAATTTTAGTTAGTGGTTTATTTTATTACCTACACGATATTCTTAAAATAAATCTAAAATTTAACAAAAATCTGTCCAATACTAGTTATAATGCTTTACTGAATAGATTCAGAATAGGAAGACCTACTTTTTCATATCTTAGAAGCTATGGAACCCCCCGAGACCTCTCCAAAAATTAGCTAATAAAAAGAAAAACAGACGAACGTAAGTGGGAAGTCTGTATTTTCGCATCCTAGAAACTGCGGGACGTCAAAATAAACATTAAATTGGACTTCTGTCAGATGGTTCCTATTCCCTGCAATATTTCTTTTAACTAGCCATTAATAATAATAATAATAGTAATGATACCGTGTTAATAATTTACTCATATTTTATTCATAGAATACAATAAATAAGTGTACATATATTATTTTTTCTGAAATATCCTATACCTAGAAGCAATTTAAAAAAAAACAGAAGGATAAAAATAAGGTTGGATTATAAAACCACAGTTTGTAAGTTTTAAATAGAATTGCTTGTCAAAATTTTGAGATGACGTCAGCACCTTTTGGAGGGGATAAACAGTTAAATTTTAGTTAGCGTCTCCACGATATTCTCAAAACGATTCTAAAATTTCACAACAATCTGATCAGTAGTTTGGAGAATACCTTGTTGAATATATTCGGAAAGGGAAGACCTACTTTTTCATATCTTAGAAACTGCGGGACGTCAAAATAAATATTAAATTGGACTTCTATCTTTTAACTACCGATCAAGAGCCAATTATAGCGGCAGTAAAAAAAGTGATGGACATATAACTCTACTGTATATACTCTAGATTGTCTATAATCAAGACGCTGAAGGTCCTCTAATCTCTGAGATTCTCTTGAGTCTATATATATCTAGACTTTCTAGACACTAAAATAAGATGTGTAGAATCTCTATATTTTCTAAAATTTCTAGATGAACTACATTCTCTACACTCTAAAGACTCTGTAAACACCATAGACTCTCTAAATTTTCTCTAGATTCTCCATTCCTTAAATTGCCTAGATTATTTAGGTTCTCAAGAATCTCCATATTATCTAAGATCTCTAGAATCTAGGTTTGCTGGATTTTATAGATTTTCTGGACTGTTGTAAGCTCTCTAAAGTGTTTGGATTCTAGATGATTTAAATTATCTAGGCTCTCTATAATTTCTAGGCACGACATTCTGTAGATATTTCAGGCTCCCTAGGGTCTTTAAGGTTTCCAAACTCTGTAGTCTCTGTATGTTTTGTAGGGTTTCTAGACACCCTAGATCGTCTTATAAGTAGGAGACCCTCTAAATTCTGTAGATATTCTGGGCTCTATACCTTCTTGGGGTTCTAGTCACTAAACTAAGTTGGCTAGATTCTCTAGGTTCTCTAAACTCCATAGATTCTCTAAATTCTCTGTGCTGTCATGCCTCTCTAAACTTCATGGACTCTAAATTGTCTTTAGATTCTCCAATCCCTAAATTATCTAGATTCTCGAAAGTCCCGATGTTCTGCAAGATTTGTAGACTCTAGATTTTATAGATTTTCTGGACTCTCTAGATACTGTAAACTCTCTAAAGTGTTTTGATTCTACACGATTTAAATTATATAGATACTCTAAGGCTGTGTATAGTTTCTAGACCGGATGCTGTTTAGATATTTCAGGCTGTCTAGGCTCTTTAAGATTTATAAACTTTCTAAGCTCTATATATTTTGTATGGTTTCTAGATACCCTAGATTATCTATAATCAGGAGGCCTTTTAAACTCTGTAGATTCTCTAAATTTTCTGTTCTGTCAAAGCTCTCTAAACTTCATCGACTCTCTAAATTCTCTCTAGGTTCCCCAATCTCTAAGTTGTCTAGATTATCTAGGTTCTCTAAGAAGTTCTGCAAGATTTGTAGAGTCCAGACTTGATAGATTTTATTAATTTTTTTTTTACTCCTTAGGTACTATAAAGCTCCTAGACGTTAAATTGTCTGAATTCTCTAAGGCTGTCTATAGTTTCTAGACGCGATACTCTGTAGATATTTCAGTCTCCCTAGGGTCTTTAAGGTTTCTAAACTCTATAGGTTTTATACCCTAGATTGTTTATAAGCAGGAGATCCTCTAGACCCTGTGGACTCTATACCTCCTTGGGGTTTTATCCACCAAACTAAGGTGGCTAGATTCTCTAGGTTCTCCAAACTCTATAGATCCTCTAAATTCTTTTTATACTTTCCAATCCCTAAATCGTCTAGATTGTCTAGATTCTCTGAAGCCTCGATGTTCTGCAAGATTCGTAGACTCTAGATTTCATAGATTTTCTGGACTCTCTAGGTACTGTAAACTCTCAAAAGTGTTTTGATTTTATACGATTTAAATTATCTAGATTCTCTAAGGCTGTCTACAGTTTCTAGACCAGATGCTCCATAGATATTTCAGGTTGTCTAGGCTCTTTAAGATTTCTAAACTTTCTAAGCTCTATATATTTTGTATGGTTTCTAGATACCCTAGATTATCTATAATCAGGAGGCCTTCTAAACTCTATAGATTCTCTAGACTGTATAGTCTTTTGGGGTTGTGTCCACTAAACCAATGTGGCTAGATTCTTCTCCATAGATTCTCTAAATTTTCTGTGCTATCAAAGCTGTCTAAACTTCATAGACTCTCTAAATTCTCTCTAGGTTCCCCAATCTCTAAGTTGTCTAGATTATGTAGGTTCTCTAAAGTCTCAATGTTCTGCAAGATTTGTAGAGTCTAGAATTGAGATTTTATAAATTTTTTGGACTCCTTAGCTACTATAAGTTCCTAGACGGTTTAAATTGTCTCGATTCTCTCAGGCTGTCTATAATTTCTAGACGCTATATTGTGTAGGGTCTTTAAGGTTTCTAAAGTCTGTAAGTTCTGTAGAGTTTCTAGATACCCTAGATTGTCTGTAAGTAGGAGACCCTCTAGACTCTATAGATTCTCTGGACTCTGTACCTTCTTGGGATTCTAGCCACTAAACTAAGGTGGCTAAATTCTGCTCCATAAATTCTCTAAATTTTCAATGCTGTCAAGGCTCTCTAAACTCACTCTAGGTTCTCCAGTCTCTAAATTGGTTAAATTGTCTAAATTCTCTAAAGTCTCGATGTTCTACAAGATTCGTAGGATTTAAACTTGCTAGATTTAATAGATTTTCGGGACTCTCTAGCGACTATGAGCTCTCGAAAGTGTTTTGATTTTAGACGACTTAAATTGTCTAGGTTCTCTAAGGCCGTCTATAGTTTCTAGACGAGTTATTCTGTCGATATTTCAATCTCTTTAGACTCGTTAAGGTTTGTAAACTTTCTAAGATCTATATACTTTGTGTAGTTCCTAGATACCCTAGATTGTCTATAATCAGGAAGCCCTCTAGACTCTGTACATTATCTGGACTCTATACCCTCTTGGGGTACTAACCACTAAACTAAGGTGGCTAGATTTTCTAAGTTCTGTAAACTCTGTATGCTGTCAAGGCTCTCTAAATTCCACAGACTCTTAAATGCTCTTTAGCTTCTCCAATCTCTAAAGTGCCTAGATTATCTAGGTTCTCCAAGATTTATAGGGTCTAGAATTGATAGATTTTATAAATTTTCTGGAGTCCTTAGCTACTATAAGCTCCTAGACGATTTAAATTGTTTGGATTCTCTTAGGCTATCTACAATTTCTAGACGCCATACTCTGTAGATATTTCAGGCTCCCTAAAGTCTTTAAGGTTTCTAGATACTCTAGATTGTCTATAAGTAGGAGACTCTCTAGACCCTATACCTTCTTGGGGTTCTTGCCACTAAACTAAGGTGCCTAGATTCTCGAAATTCTCTATGCTGTCAAGGCTCTCTCAGTTCCATAGACTCTAAACTTTCTTTAGGTTCTCCAGGTTTTAAATTGCCTAGATTGTCTAGGTTCTCGAAAGTCTGGATGTTCTGCAAAATTCGTAGTCTCTAGATTTTATAGATAATCTGGACTTTGTTTGTCTCTAGGCTGTTTAAGGTTTCTAAACTCTTTAAGCTCTATATATTTTGTATGGTATGACTGTATACTCTCTTGGGGTTCTAGCCACTAAACTAAGGTGGCTAGATTCGCTAAATTTTCCATACTGTCAAAACTCTCTAAACTTCATTGACTCTCTAAATTCTCTCTAGGTTCTCCAATCTCTAAATTGCGTAGATTATCTAGATTCTCTAAAGTCTCGATGTTCTGTAAGATTTGTAGAAACTAAAGTTGCTAAATTTTATAAGCTATCTAAAGTGTTTTGACTCTAGATGATTTAAATTATTATCTAGACTGTCTATAATTTCTAGACACAATACGCTGTAGATATTTCAGGCTTCCTAGGGTCTGTAAGGTTTCGAAACTCTGTAGGCTCTGTATATTTTGTAGGGTTTCTAGATCCTCTAGATTGTCTATAATCCGTAGGCGCTCTAGACTCTGTAAATTCTCTGAATGCTATACCCTCTACGGTTTCTATAGCTACTACACTAAGGTGCCTAAATTGTCTAGATTTTCTAAAATTTCTGGAAACTGCAGAACACCAAAATAGACATTGAATTGGATTTCTGTCAGAAGGATCCTATTGCCTACAATATTTTCTATAACTATCGATCAAGAACGAATATAACGGCAGTAAAAAAAGTGATGGATGTATAACTGTACGATAAACGGTATTTGCTTCTCATGTGAGATATAAAAAACTCGTTCGTACAAATACAAAATGAAAATTCTCCACAGATGTTTAAATAATTCCAATGTCACAAAATGTCATTACTTCAGGAGTTAATTATAATTGTGTTTACATAATAATTTATACATATTTTATTCATAAAACAGAATAAATATACATATTTTAATTTTTTGAAACATCTTGTATAAGCAGTTTAAAAAAATCGAAGGATAAAAACAAGGCTGAGTTATAAAACCACTGGTTTCTGAGTTTTAAATAGGATTCCTTGGCAAAATTTTGAGATGACGTCATCACTTTTGGTGGAGATAAACAGTTTAACAAGAATATGTCCAGTATTTAGAAAACACTTTATCCAATGACTTCGGTAATAAATAAAATTGATAAACCCGAAATATCAGTAAATATGGTTCTTAAAATTCGTTTACCGAACAAATGGAGTGCCTAAAACTTACACGATAACATCAAAATTGAACGTTTAAAGGAATTTCGGCGGGGTGTTGGAAATTGTGAAACAGCGACATTCCTTGACCAATGGTATTAGGGTTTCAAGAGATCACGCACTTTTACAACTCCATCTGTTCGGTAAACCAAGTACAATTCACATAAATGTCATTTACACATTCGTAGATGTCAAAGTGACAGTCGAAAATGACCTAAATAAATCACGGGACAGACAACTGAAGTTTTAAAGTTGCAGCCAACTGGAATTTACTTTACTCCAGCCGCGCTGTATTTATTTTTGTTGGCTCCGTATTTTTGTATATTAGTAAATACAAAATTTAAGATAACACTATAAGTTTCATGAATGATGTGATATGTAAATAAATGGGTTAAATTTTCTTTTTTTTAGATCTGCGGCGAAGACTGCCGCAACGTAGAGGCCTATCGCAAGCACCTCGAAACCCACGGCCAAAGAATCGAAATAAAATGCGTACTATGCAACAAAGAATTCGCGTCGGACCGCCAGCTCCAAACCCACCTGAATTCTCACACCGATCTCAAATACCCCTGCGAATACTGCGCCCGAATCTACCCTTCCCTCTACCGCCTCAAACGCCACATCAAACGAGCGCACATCCCCAACGTATGCGACGAATGCAACGCCATCTTCTACGACCGCGCCCTCTTCACCAAACACAAGAAAAACCACAGCGACGGCAAGCCCTCGAACTGCACCTTCTGCGGCAAATCCTTCGACAAGCAGAAGAACCTCAGCGAGCACGTGCGCCTGCAGCACAAGGAAGACGGGAACGTGCACAAGTGCGACCTATGCGACAAGACCTTCATCAACGCGCCGCTCCTGCGGAACCACATCAAGACCCACGACAAATGCTTCAAGTGCAAGTACTGCAGCAAGCTGTTCAGCTCGCGGTACAACCTGGAGACGCACTCGGTCACGCACACCGGGGAGAAGAACCACAAGTGCGACGTCTGCGGGAAGGTGTACTCTACGAAAACGAGCTTGAAGAACCACGTGGCGACGCACAGCGACGTGAAGAACTTCAAGTGCGACCAGTGCCCGAAATTGTTCAAAACGTCCAGGAGACTTTACGTGCACAAGTTCTCGCACGCCACGGAGGAGAAGTATCAGTGCGATGTTTGCAGTGCGAGGTTCAAAGTGAAGCAGTATTTGAAGTACCATATGATTAAGCACTCGACGAGTAAGCCGTTTGAGTGTAAGGTTTGCCAGAAGAGGTTCAAGCATAAGAAGTCGTGGGAGAAACACTCCAGTCACGATAAACACTCGAAGGTGAAGAAAGAGATGCACGAGTGTGGCGACTGTTTGGAAGTATTTACGAGTAAAACTGATCTCTTAGAGCACGAAAGGATGTTCCATGAAGGGAACGCTGGTGATGGATTTCGCGAAAGTATGGCTGTAGAAATAAAAAATGAAACCGGTTTGTAATGACAGGTCGCGTCCGTTACGGAAAAGTGGACGCGTGCCTTTACGCGACTTTTGTTTCAACTTCCATTCCCCACAGGTATAGACTTAGCACTTTATTTGTTCGTAAGTGAAGCTTTAATCGTTTTTATTGTTCCTATAAAATTGTGTTGTGATAACGTTTCATTTTAATTGGCGTGACTTGTAACTTTGCGATAAATAAAAACCTGAAACAGTACAAACAGGATACTGAGAAGCTATGTAGATAGAATACAGAGTCCTTTATTAAATTAAAGTATTTTCCTACAATTTACTCTAAAAAAAAAACTTAAGACAAACCTTATCATACCTTAACTCCTATTGAACATTTATTTATCCATGTACTGCAATTATAAACAAAACTGAACCACATATTTGAACACTTTAATTTATTAATTACGATAAACTACACATTTAAAAAGTGGCAGAATATAAAGCCGTCACGTAATTCCTCATGAATCTCGAGGGGCAGTAGTTGATGGATAAAAAGTGAATATAAGAATATATCTACTGTATGATTTTTAAAAAAACATGTTACCGCTGATTCATCAAATTTCAAAACTCCGTTGCGACAACACCAACGATTTTGTAAAGTGAAAAAACGAAGACAGTAACTATATGAAGAACGAAATATAACTAAAGAAAAGAAAAACGAACAATGTAACCTACAGTGAATATATAAATATTTCGAAGATGTTTATGCACGCTCTCCGCGGATTCGACGGGCCAACTGTATGTCTTTGGGCATAATGGTCACCCGTTTGGCGTGGATGGCGCATAAATTGGTATCTTCAAAAAGACCCACGAGGTACGCCTCACTGGCTTCCTGAAATTAGAATAGAATTAGAAATAATCACGAACTCTTTATCGTTATCAAAATTTCACTTTACACAAAAACCTTCATTCCGATTTCAATTAGTTTAATCTCTTCTCAATACAAAGAAATCTGATAACGTCGATCTACAAAAACAATAGGTCTCGAAGTATGGACCACCTCGACCCCGGTCTCGATATGTATCGTTTTTCATAGTTTGTAATATTAACCCGCAAATTAACTTATCACTAACACAACAACTTTATCTGAGAATTACATGATAACCATGTCTGATTATCCATAATGGGTCGTGTTTATACCAATTTTGTTTAATAACTTCCTTCATTAACGTTGCATTCAAATATTGATGCCACTCTTGACTGAAATATTAAAGATAAAACAAATCTCCGAATAACAATAACATTAAAAATACGATCGGGTGATCTCTTGACCAGATACTTCCCCACCCGAAAACTCGTTTCAATATTATAATAAAGCTGCGATATGCTATCTTTATTCAGCTACACTCATTTATTTAAAAATGTTTCAAAGTCGAAACACATGCAACAGCTTCTTCATAATTACGTCAATAATTCCATCACGTGACAAGATGCATTAGTGAATAATAAATGCCACTTATTAAAATTATAGGATACTGAAACTCGCGTCGCTCGTTAAATTCCTGGAATGTCGGAAATTATGAAAATTTAATCAGAAACAACAATCGATAAACACGACTACTCCAATTGATGCTCTTAAACATGTATTTAAGTCGTAACGCTCTCCACGACTACTAATTTTAACTCTACAAATAATAATACAAAATTGTCTATTATTCCGCGAAAACTTTGCAAATTATAGCGTCTAGATGATTACTTTTTGTAATTTACGAAACTGATTAATTCGCCTGCATCAGATTATTTTTAAATGTCAAAAAAACAATTAAAAAACGCTACTGCTGCATAGGTAATTATTATTATTCATACACAATGTACGTGATTTACTAACACCCAAAAATACCCACCTTACGTCATTTTTCTTGAAGATCAAGGTTAAATTACCAGAAATTTTAACAAATATATGCAAAAAGAAAATTGTTATTTAACTATGTACAATACTAAAATTTCAGGGCAATCAGTCTGTAGTTACGGATATCACGTGTCTAATAAAATCGCTTTGTCGTTTATACATCATATGATCCCGTCGCTAATTTAAATTTACGTAATTCTGATAAATCAGTAACACAGTGCAAAAATAGTCCACTATTAAAAAAAACGCATGATGAAACGAAATTCAAACGGTTTTTTACCAATCACAATTAACTATTGATCACGTGACGACCCTCTCATTGGCAGTCATAACTGTCAAAAAAACACCGGCCAATAACGGTCGCATCCCAAACCCTGGAACTCTGAACGCAGCCATGATCAATAAAACACTTAATTTTGGCGGCAAATTTAAACCAGGCGCGACATCGTCACCAAAAATACACACAGTGTAGTAACTCCCACACGGCCCGAGTGTGAGACTGTTTACCTCCAACGGCAGGAGATCAACCCATCTCTCTCCGGCTCCATCTCACACACACGCATCTCTGTCGCTCCAATTTACATGTTTTCCCCAAGGTCGCAGCAACCATTCAGAAAAAAAAACAGTCTCTGGATCATTGATCCCACACCAAGAACAAAGCCCCGGCTACATTTAGCCCCCAACACAAACACTTTGATGTACCTGGAGGGCTCCGATGGCAGCAGACTGGAAACGCAGATCGGTCTTGAAATCCTGTGCGATTTCTCTGACCAATCTCTGGAATGGCAGTTTTCTGATCAGCAACTCGGTGGACTTCTGGTATCTGCGGATTTCTCTGAGTGCCACTGTTCCGGGACGGTAACGATGAGGCTTCTTCACGCCGCCCGTGGAGGGGGCGGACTTCCTGGCCGCCTTGGTGGCGAGCTGCTTCCTGGGGGCTTTTCCTCCCGTGGACTTACGAGCGGTCTGCTTCGTACGAGCCATTTCGTCTCACTTCAACACACAAAGTTAATTACGGCGTTCCCGCCAAAAATCAATACTCGCGACGGCAATTCGGCGCTCGGGGGGCGCAGCCCCCCGAATCCCCCTAATACAGCCCCCAGAAATCGCGCTGTCGAACGCGGGAAAACGAGGCCCAGGTGGCCGAGAAATGACGAAATATGACTCATGCGAAGACAACAACATGGCGGCCGCGTATAACATAACAATGAAAATCGGGAAGTGAAATCTTCGGGATTTTCGCGGGAAATCGGCGCGGAAAAGCGCGCTTTTTGCGATTGAAGGGTGTATGGGGGTGTAAGTGGAAGAATTGCGCACATTTTGGGTATTAACTCAACGGAAAACTCACCTTTTCAGCAAATTTTAGCGAATGGAACAATCGGACGTGTTTCACGTTACTATCGAAAACAAGCAAGCGACGAGAAAGGGGAGTGGAAGTAACGCTTGGATCAGGTACACTCTGGTAGAATTATTTTCGAATGATTTGATTGGTGAGCGGGGATGAATCGGAGGTGTGGATTGGTGAGATGTGACGACGCGGATTGGCTGACCTGGAAAGTAATGCGCGCCAAGTTTGACTTGGGGTACGGGGAAACTACGGCGTGAGTCACGAGTGACGTTTTTACGGTTCCTTTTGATATGATTCATTCATATTTTGCTTTGGTTGGGGTGCGATGGCCGGAAGTTGAAGAAATTATTTATAGCATGGAATAATTTAATTTAATTTTTTTTTATTACTACTGTAAATCTGACATCCATGATCCATGTATGCAAAATTTTGAACACCATCAATTAGAAGTTGGATTATTAAAATTAAAACTTAATTATTAATTATTCAAATGTGAATTTTAAATTTGATTATATTGACAATGCGTATTAAATACTGAAATAATAATAACTGTTTACTTTGAATCGCACTTATTGGAATGGAAAATACAAAGTGTGAAATTACTGGTAACAGTGTTACAACTTTTAATTTTTGTCAGATTTTCTAACCTTACAACTTAAACTAATAATATTATAAATTAATTAATTAATAATAATTATTAAATTTTGATTTCACACATCTTCAGTGAAAATTTATCAGACACTTTCGAACATTCAATTGTCTTACCCTGACAAAAGTGTCAGTTACGTCACGCTAAATTTTAGTACCCCTTTTAAAAATTTATTGTGGCTATGAGTACTCTCTTTGAACGCGAAATTTGTGTCCAGGACTTGGACGATGAGTCTCCTCTCACCAAGGAGATCACTTTGGGCCTGTCATACCGTGCCCTAAAAAGTACAAACCAGACCTTACCCATCAAACCCAAGCATTCGCCCATCAGTGCCCCTTTTCGATTATGCCGTGCCTTGCAAAAGTCCCACCGCAGAAAAAAGAAAAACTTTTGCAAATGCGCAATGATGTCGTCCCACCATTCGAACTACACCAACATGACTTTGCTGGATAGAAGCGTCCTGACCCAGGAGAAATACATGGACATGTTGTCAATCCCTCAGCGGTATTCCTACATCAAAAGAAAAAAACCTCGGAAGAGAGCTACGCCAAAAATTTGTTGCAAATGCAAAATCGAACCTTGTTCTCCGCGTCTGATCCAGATGGCTATCCCTAATAAAAGGTACGTTTTGGAGAACTGGAAGACGTACCAGGATCGTCTACCAGCTGAGATCCTGGCAAGGTTCGACCAAATTCTGAAAAGCGGTAATAACCTGGAACCGCGAGAGGCCAGGTATTATTTTAAGCAGTTGAAGATGAAGAAGAATAAGGAAATAAGGAGAAGAAAGCGGCGCTGTAAAAGAAGAAAGGAGATCAAGAAACGTGGAGACTTGATGTGGTTGAAGTGTCAAATCGACCAAACTACTTGTGCAATGGTGACTTATATCATGACCGAGCCTTTATTGACGTTGAACTTTAACCAAATGATGACTTCAGATGAGTTACTAAAGTACTTAGCAAGTCAGAAAGTTTTCTGCATAAAAAACCGCAGTACGAAGAACGTGTACAAGAAAACTGTCATTGAAATTAGCGACAAGTTAGTGAAGTGGATGGACACGATGAGTTTCTTCGCAGACATCCAGCCCTTGGACTCTAAAGAGAAGATAATAGAAATACCATCCCTTGAAAGTTTGCTGGAACAAGAAGAGGAAGAAGAAGAAGAGGAGATAGAAGAGGAACTCGGTGAAGAAGAACGTCTCAGAGGAACCGAAGGCGAAGGAGAAATGGAAAGCGAAGGAAGCGAAGCTGGCGAAGACTTCGAACAATTCCTGGCACAGAAAATCGTAGACAGAATCACCGGGTTCGGGGAAGGCGACGAAGGTTCATTCATGGATATGCTGAAAGGTCTAGACGAAGACATCCTGGAGAAACTGATCCAAATCCTATCAGAGTCCCCGGAAGACTTCCTCAAGGAAGGAATAGACACCGTGAACATGCCCGGAGTGGCCTACAGCGACATTCTCGAAAAACTCAAAGAAATCCGCGACGGGAATCTACTGGAAGTGCGCCGCGAGAGGCTTCAACTTGAAGAAAAAATGATCGAGTGGGCCAAAATCAACGATCCGGACCGCGTAGACGACAAAATCTTGGACAAAATACACGAAACCTCCACGATTTTGAACGAGTGGTTCAAGAATGTTGGTCTTTCTTCGTTCCAAGATAGGGGTCGAGGTGCGGACGGGTTTGGACGTAGTGACGACGAATGGGGAGCAGGTGAAGAAGACATGGATGAAATGAAGCCATTTGAAGAACTGTATGGAAGAGGCGAAGGTAAAGGAGGAGACATATTAGCCGGAGCAACAACTGACGAAGAAGCAGGAGACGAGTTCAAGGAAGCCCAGCAGGACATGGGGGGCGCTGATTTCGGACAAGGGCCGTTAGAAGGAGGAGAAGGCTACGGCGACATCGACGAGCTTGAAAGAGAGTTCATTGAAGAAGGAGCGATACGAGAGGGCTTCGCACCTGGAGAAGGTGAAGGTGAAGAAGGTTTAGGTGCACCAGGAAGTGGAGGCTTTAAAGCAGGAGATGAAGGGTTAGAAGGCCTTGGAGCAGGAGAAGGCTTTGGCGCGGGAGAAGGCTTAGACGAAGACGCGTTAGCAGCGGAAATGAAAGCCTTAGAAGAAGGCCTGCTTGGTGAAGAATTCGGTGAAGGCGTTGAAGGTTTGGAAGAAGGTGAAGGCTTTGGACTCGGCGCCGGAGAAGGCGAAAGCGAAGCCGAAGGAGAACTAGAAGAGCGACTATCCGCTGAACTCGAGAGACTAAGTGGCAGGCTTGGTATCATCCGTGGCCACAAACCATCCGTGGTCTATGAACACACCCCCGGAACCATCTGCTGCTTGTCTTTGAAAATCTGGGCCGTGTGGTTGCTTGAAATCGCCACTAATGCCCACAACTGGACGAAGTGGATTGCCGACATCATCAAGCAAGTGCGTTACTACTGTTCTGTTATTAGAGGCGACGTGGTGCTTCCAAACGGAGAGAAGAAAGTCTTGTATAAGGAAGAATGGAGGAAGTTCGTGGCGGACACCGAAGAGAAGGTGATCGCCTGGAGGCACTACAGCAAGCACGTCAAGGACTTGTCTAACGAAATCATAGAGAACTTCCGCGGAAAACCGGTCACGTGTTGTCCGAAATGTCTACAGGATCATTTGATCAAGAACGTGGTTACTGCACACGAGACACTACAGGCGTTGACGGAGGCTATTAACTGCGCAGAATACTGGCAGAGGTGTCTGGATAGAATCGTCGAACAAACCAGCAAGCTTACAGATATAGAAGTGAAAGACGACGCTGCAGACGTTAAATCTTTGTCGTCTGAGGAATCCTACACCATAGAAATTGAAGAACTGAGTCGCATGCCGACGGTTGTCCCCGTGGCTTCAGAAGTTAGTTATGGGTCCGTGTACGAAATCGAGGAGCTGTCGATACCACCAGACCGCGGTTCAGATTACGAATTAATAGAAATTGGATCAGGAGGGGGCAAAGGACGGGTCACTATACACGAAATTGTAGAAATCAGCGAGTCAGTCCCGTGTCCACCAGAATCAAGTAAAATTAAACTACACCAGAAAGGTAAAGAGGCTCCCAAAGCAAAAAAACCGAAAAAAAAATAGAAGTTTTTTGTACTTGTCCTGTATTGTTAAATGAAACCAGATTTTGTTTGAGGCCGATTTTTATTTGTTGCTTTCTAAAGTTAAAAGACTTAAAAACTTGTCTTTATTTTACTTCCTAGAAAATCGAAATAGTACCAACCAAAGAAACAACTGCTTGTTGAAAATTTTTGTCAAAACATGTCACGCTAAATTTTGGTACTTTAATAAGTTATAGTGGCTATGATTACCTTTGTCCAAAATTTGGACCATGAGTCGCCCTTGCCTAAAGAATTCAACTACGAAAAATGATACTTTGCAGACAAAACAATCTGGGAAATGTTGCCTGTCAAAAAATATTCTCCCTTCAATGTCTTTTATGTCTGGACAGTCTTCTACCATCCAAATAACAGAACTTCCCTGCCAAGCCGCCTGTTCTTCAAGTACAGTAATAGAAATTGAAGAAGTGCAGGCTCCGAGGGTCAAATGTTCCAGCCACGACATTGTAGAAATTTTTCCAGTAAAAGACGAGAATCTTTTAGCCTATCATGACATTATAGAAGTCGGTGCATCGCAAGTGACGCAAGAGTGCAAAGAAGAAGTAAAACGGGAAAAAAACACCAAACGTAGCAAATCTACTTCAGAAATAAAGAAAAAACGCAAAAAGCAATAACTCTCGAAAGAGTGAAATATATTGTACGGCTAACTAACTACATTTTATTTTGAATGTGATTTTTCCCTTTCTATTTCTGCTAGTCGTTCTAGAATTTGGGAAGTTTCGAGACTGTGTTCTTGGTTATATTTCAACGACACACGTAGTTGGTGTTCCTCCAAACCTTCGATTCTACTATACAAAGACTTCTTTAGTTCCTCGTCTACGTCGTTTTCTTCACGCAGAATTCCAAAATAAACCATAAATATTGTGAGGCTGACCACAATGACATACGGCTCATACCACAACCGCACGCTTTCATACCCAACTCTGGAAGTCTTGGCCTTCCATTCTCTAGCAGCACTCGAGGTGAATTTAACTGGGGTATCGAGCTCGTCTACCAAGTCTTTGGCTTTTGTTGTAGTGCTTGCATGAGAGACACTCAAAGCAGCTAACCTAAAACTGAATTTCGGTTAAAACTTTGGTTGATTGTAACAGCGTGTCTTACGTATTGTTTGGTTTCGTGATTTTAGCGGTCAATTGTCGACTAATAGTTAAAAATCGATTAATTAACATTTTCGTGATTTTTTTAGAAAAAGTGAGGTTATGTAGCTGCCGCGCATTGTGTAACAAAACAAATGGAATTAGTTAGACTGAAGCTTACATATCGATCGATATTGAAATTACCAACGATCGTGACATTATTTTATCAATAATATCATTTTTTAGCCGGTAAAGTGGGTGCAAAATTAAGAATGATTTAAATTTGGCGGGTCCCAGTGGCGCCCCCTAACCAGTATATAAATTGACGTAATCACCGTTTCTCTGCCATTTTGAAGTTTACGAAAGAGATGGTAAGTGCTGCAGAACTTTTTTCTTCAAATATCTCCAAAAATATTGGTCATCCTTGTATGAATTTACTTTGTACGCAAACTATTTACTTTAAAGAATCCCTCAAACGATTTATCAAGCACTATAGTTGCTTTTTTTACATGATGATTTAGATTTTTTGTGTTTATGGTTAATACCGAAACAACAATGTGGATATTATTCTAGGGCGGTCTGATTTTCCTACAAGTTAATCTATACCGCGACTTCGGAGATCAGTTAATAATGTGCTTTTATTTTCAGTCGCATCGTAAGTTCAGTGCCCCCCGCCATGGGTCCATGGGCTTCTACCCCAAGAAGCGGTCCCAGCGTCACCGCGGTAAAGTAAAGGCCTTCCCTAAAGACGACCCATCGAAACCCGTGCATTTAACCGCTTTTATCGGCTACAAAGCCGGTATGACCCACGTGGTTCGTGAAGCAGACCGGCCTGGCTCTAGTAAGTCTCACACTTCCACGTTTTAGCAAACCTAACCTCCGTCTCTAGAAATCAACAAGAAAGAAATCGTGGAAGCCGTCACCATCCTGGAAACCCCACCCATGATGATCGTCGGTGTTGTTGGCTACATTGAAACCCCACATGGTCTCCGCGCTTTGGCTACAATTTGGGCTGAGCACTTGTCGGAAGACTGCCGCAGGCGCTTCTACAAGAACTGGTGAGTCTCGATGGTGATTTCTCCATCACCAGCTAAATGTAACAGCTCTCCTCTGCTAAGCACGAGAGAAGTGAGTCCACTGAGACACCATGTGTTGAAGTGTGGCTAAGGGACAGCCTCCTCTGAACGCATGAGGTGACCCTTTTGTTGTTTGATTAAAGGTACAAGAGCAAGAAGAAGGCTTTCACTAAAGCATCTAAGAAGTGGTCTGATGATTTGGGCAAGAAGTCGATCGAGCGTGATTTTAAGAAAATCATCAAGTACTGCAAAGTTGTGAGGGTGATTGCGCACACACAGGTTAGTTGAGTTGTGGTTAGTGTTGACGCGATCAGTGCAGGAGCTTACCCTCCGGCTGGCGGCTCGGGTGTAACTATTCAATGTTGCACTTGCTGCAGTGTCAGAGAGCATGTGCCCTTCGGGAGGCGCAGTGGGCATATTCCATAATCTTTTTGTAGTCTCTGGATGATGACAATTTGACAAACCATGCTCACTACAGACTTTTCTATTTAAATATTTATTAAATTTTTATGATTGTCATGGTTGTTTATTTTTGTTAGATGAAACTGTTGAAGCAACGCCAGAAGAAAGCGCATATTATGGAAATCCAACTGAATGGTGGTAGCGTTGCTGATAAGGTCCAATGGGCCAGAGAACACCTCGAACAACCAATCCCAGTGGCGCAAGTTTTTGGTCAAGATGAAATGATTGACTGCATTGGTGTCACCAAGGGTAAAGGATACAAAGGTGGGTCACCTATTGAGTTTGATAGGTTTGAAATACTAAAGTGTGAAAACGCTTTGCATTTTGGCCTGATTAATTTACTAACCTGTGATGACAAAACATGGGTGTGCCTTCAGATGAGACATGAAGATACCACCATGCTGCCTTCCTACTGATCCATTTTCTAAAAATATATGTATAGAGTGATTATGGAAAAAATTTACACTTTGACTATTACAGGTGTAACGTCGCGTTGGCACACCAAGAAACTACCAAGGAAGACCCATAAAGGTCTGCGCAAGGTCGCTTGTATTGGGGCTTGGCATCCATCTCGCGTGTCATTCACAGTGGCCCGTGCTGGTCAAAAAGGATACCACCACCGTACTGAAATGAACAAGAAAATCTATAGAATTGGGGCTGGTATTCATACTAAAGATGGCAAGGTGTGTATACATTGATAACTATTTAATAATTAAAGTTCTACAATGATGATAAAACTCCGAGCCAAAAGGATTATGAAAACATAATGATCTTAGATGATAGGACTGATCATTTTATATTTAATTAATTTTGATTTTGTGTTTTGGCAAAAATAACGTTTTGTGTTTTCAACACAGGTCATCAAAAACAACGCCTCCACTGAGTACGATTTGACGGAAAAAACCATCACCCCTATGGGTGGATTCCCCCATTATGGTGAAGTTAATAATGACTTCATTATGATCAAGGGTTGCTGCATGGGTCCTAAGAAGCGTGTTATCACCCTTAGGAAATCCTTGCTGGTTCATACCAAACGTGTGGCTCTTGAGAAGATCAGTCTTAAGTTTATTGATACATCATCCAAATTTGGACATGGTAGATTCCAGACGCAAGCCGATAAGGCTGCGTTTATGGGTCCACTTAAGAGGGACAGAATTAAGGAGGAAGAAAAAACAGCTGCACCTACAGCTAGTTCATAAGTTTATTGTACATATAATACAATAAAATAAGTTGGAACGATTTTGAGTCTATTGATTGTTTAACCCCACTTGTGAAACACATAAGAGATTGTCGTAAAAGGAACAAGTTGCTATGAGAGCTTGTTCCTTGGAATTTATGGGTGAAAAGCTCCAATCAGCACCATATGAAATATTTTCGTGTTTGTAGTAGCTGTCTACTATTTCTAAACATTCTGGGTTGTTTGATTTAATAATGTGGACACCGCCTAACATGCAAGCTGCCAATAAATGTTTATGGTAAAATGGGTCCCATTTGAGCCGCCACAAAGTACCAGGTGTTTTTATACAACTTGTACAATTTTTTAAAAACCGGATATCCCACAATCTAACTTGAGTGTCATAACTTCCAGTTGCTAAAACGTATTCGCGTTTGGAATTAGAATGAATTGAAGTAACCCCCGCTTCATGGTTCCTGTTTCTAGAAACCGGTTCTAATCCCGCTCTTTTGTCAAATTTTAAAAAAACGCAGTCGTCTCCACCTACAAATAACTAAAATTGGTGGTTGTTATTACAAACAAGTAGAAATTTACCACTGAAGAAAATATTGGGTTCCCAGTAATAAAATGCGGCAATCCAGGCCTCAAAGTCGTGTCCATTCCAACTCCCGTCTCTTACTAACTCGTTGTTTGTAAATTTAAACCTATGAATTTTACCCTTGGAGTCGCTACAAACAAGTTCAGGCTCACTTGACTCATATTTACCTGTTGACCAATCTAGAGACAATACAAGAGTTTCACTATCATCATCCTCTAGTTGGTAACTTGTAATCAAGTCTAACTGAACCGTGTTTGCGTTTAAAGCATAAATTTCTATAGTTTTTTGCGCGTTTGCGACCCCCAAAATCGAACAACCATTAACAGGATTGTGGCACCATTTTTGGTCAAGGATAGCCGCTGTTGGAAGGGTTTGAAGCAGCCGCAACTCCTCTAAACTCACGGAAAATAGTAAAATGCAACCGAAACGCTCACGAGGCGCTGAAATTAAATAAACAATAAAAAACAAACTTTGTATATTCAAACCTACCATTAGTATCATCCTTAGATTCTTTTAATTGATAATTAGCACACACAAAAACGTTCTGGTGTGGCTCGTGGGGGCACCACTCCACCGAATCTGCGTTAAAATCAGTTTTATACGTATGCAAAGTGGTTATTTGTTTACATGGGGGCTTCTCATCACTGTCATCAGACATTGTTGATTGTAACCTAACCTCACTTTTTCACGTGGATTGAAAATCGTGACGATAGTGCCTCACCGAGTGCGTTGGATATTTCTCTTGCCAAATGTGTGAATTTCGGTTGATGTGAGACACCACAAGGGGGTTACACTTGTTTCAAATATCTATTTAGTAGTTGAGGTTATGTTGACATGCAACTTAACCCCACTTTTTGAGCCGTTGCTATGATTCTTCCAAATAATTTAATCGATGCCAGTTTAGCCCGAAAATGCCATCCGAGAGCGAAAACTCAGTCCAAACCGCCAAAAAAATCGCCACTTGTCTCCAAAGCCCCGACAAGAAAGTGCGCAAGCAAGTCTTCGTCGACCTCCAGACGTTTCTCTCCGAGAATGAATTCTCCAACCAAGAACTTCGCAATATCTTCTCCGAGACGCACATGTACACCCTCAATGGTTTCCGCGACAAGACGGAGCTCGTGCGGGAGCAGGCAATCAAGTTTATGTCGTTTTTCGTCATCGACAAGCTCCCCTTGAACGATTTTTACCTAACTTATGTGTGTCCCGTGCTGGTGGAGCGAATCGGGAGCGTGGAGTTGATCGAAGAGTCCGAGGAGATTCGGCTGGAGTTGGTCAAGTTTTTGCAGGCGATTATTTTGAAGTACTCGAATAGCGAACAGTTGAAGCCGTTTTTGGGCGACTGTGTGGTGATTTTGTGCGAGATGGTGAAGGACAAGCATCCGGCTATTAAGGAGCTGAGTTGTAGGTGCGTGGTGGATTTAGCGCAGGCGTTACCGAGGGATTTTCATATGCAGGCGGAGAGTTTGGTGAAGCCGATTGTGAGTTGTTTTGGGCATCAGAGGTTTAGGGTGAGGGTGGAGGCGGTGAAGGCGGTTGGTAGGTGGTCACGGGAGGGTGTGAAAGGGTTTTAATTTAATTGTGGTTGTAGGGGAGGTGATTATGCATAGTTCTTATAAAGGGTTGGATGAGGCAATTGTTCCAATGGCTGAGAAGTTGTTTGATCAGATACCGCTAGTGAGAAGAACGGTTGGTCAAGTGGCTGCCAGGTGGTTAATGGAGTATAGAGATAGATACTCGTTTTTCTATAAAATATTACCTTTACTATTGACAGGGTATGTATTAATCAATTAATTAATCATTAGTGTTAATGGTTAAAATAATTTTGTAGCCTCAATGATGAAGTAGAGGAGACCAGAATTGAAGCACAAGATCTCTGGGAAAAAGTAGGGCTTCAGTACAAGAACGAAAATGAGAAGGATTTGAAGGACCAAATTGACTTTCTGCTTGAGCCGCCAAAATATTATCCAAAAGATAGTAAGAAAAGATTTTGATTTCTGAGTGACTATTAATCTTTGGAATTATTTTGTCAAGTTGGCAACATATTTAAAATTTTATGGTGGCATTACTGCCAATACAAAAATAATAGTCACCAGATATTTTTCCATTTATTCTCTTATGGGTTTATTTTAGTAAAAAGACCCAACTTGGGATGTCGCGTACTTGTCCAAAGAAACGTCATTAAATTAGCTAAAGCCCTCGCTCTTGAACTAACTTGTTGGCAAGAAGATGTGCGTGTTCGTTGTTCACAATTATTGTGCAGCCTTGCTTTACATTCTGAAGAGGGCTTAACACAGAATTTACAAGAATTGTTACCGGCTATGTACTCGGCAGCAAGAGACGACGATCAGAGGGTTGTTGTCAATGTATGTTTAGACAGTGGTGGTAAAGGTCGATTTATAAACTTCTCGCTGACGTTGCGTTTTCGACCAATCAATTTTTCGGTAATGTGCAGTGCTGTCAACCTGAAGGAAAATCCCATGAAGTAGGGGGGACATTTTTCTTGTAGAGAAATAAGGATTTTGCAATTAAGCTCCATCCCCTTAGCTCACGACCAATCACAATTGAGATAGGGCAGCTTAAAACATGTGTAAAATGGTAAATTTGTATAGGGAAATATCGATTTTGCAATTACGCTCCGCCCCTGGGTCTGACAACGAATGAAAATTTCATCACGATTGAGATCTAGACGGATCGGTGGGGCTTCTCTTTTGGTTTTCTTTTTTAATTAATACATTTAGTTTTCTTTGTATAACACGATTACTTATTTCACATTTTTCTCGTAGAAAAATAGGTATTTTACAATTAAGCTCCGCCCCTCTGCCTACGATGAATAAAAAAATCATCAGAATTGAAATAGGGTGGGTGGGCGGGGCTTACATTTTGCCTTTTTTTTAATATACATAGCCATCTTTTTACAACCAGAAACTTAAAACATGGCTAAAATGGTACATTTTTACAAGGAAATATGGATTTTGCAATTATGGGGCGGAGCCGAATTGCAAAATCGACATTTCCTTATGCAAATTTTTCATGTTAAACATGTTTTAACTTTCATGTTGTGAAAAGAAGTCTACACAGATTAAAACAAAAACACAAAACATAAGCCCGCCCACCCGCCCGATCTCAATTGTGATGATTTTTTCATTCGCCGTGAACCAAGAGGGCGGAGCCTATTTGCAAAATACTTAACTTTTTTCCACGAAATTAAATACATGTTTTTGTGTTGTGTGTTGTTCGAAAAATACTCTGTATATTAAGAAAAAAAGCCAAAAGGTTTACCCCGCCCACCCACTCCATCTCAATTGTGATGATTTTTTTTATTCTTAGAAATTTAAAACATGTTTAAAATGGTAAATTTTTGTCAGAAAATATAGATTTTGCAATTAGCCTCCGCCCCTAGATCAGCCAACGAATGAGAACTTAATTACTGTTTAGATCAGGATAAGTATGGGTGGGGCCTAATCTTTGGTTTAATTTTTTCCTTAATATACATAGTATTCTTTGAACAATACTTGTTTTTAATTTCTCGTAGAGAAATAAGGATTTTGGAGTTAAGCTCCGCCCCTTTGGCTTACGACGAATAAAAAAATCATCTGAATTGAGACAGGGCGGGTGGGCGGGGCTTATATTTTGCCTTATTTTTTTTCTTAATATACATAGCCATCTTTTGACAACAAGAAACTTAAAACATGTTTAAAATGGTAAATTCTTGTAGACAAATATGGATCTTGCAATTAAGCCCCGCACCTCGATCTGACAACAAATGAAAAATTCATCACAATTGAGAATCTTTGGCTGTATTTTTTTCTTAATATACACAGTATTTTTTGAACAACACGATACTCAAAAACATGTTTTTAATTTCTCGTAGGTAAATAAGGATTTTGCAGTTAAGCTCCGCCTTCTTGACTCATTACGAATAAAAAAATCACCACGATTGACATAGGGCGGGTGGGCGGGGCTACATTTTGCCCTTTTTTTCTTAATATGTGTAGACTTATTTCGACAACAAGAAACTTAAAATATGTCTAAAATGCAACGGGAACTTCAACGTCAACAGCAAGTTTATAAATTCCACTTAAAACACCCAAAACAACGTTAGACTACCTATTTTAGTTGTTGGAATACCAGTCAAAAGATATTTAATCACATGATTGCCATAGCAACATATATAGGCAGTCTAATTATTATTAGTACAAAATAAAGCTTTATCTGTGAAAATTGTAGATAATTAGAGCTAGTGAATTAATGGGGATTTTTATACCCACTAAAACGTGGTACCAACTGGTACTGCCGGCAGTGGAAAATGGCGCCCATTTTGGCCACTTGTCTGTCTTGAGTGGCTTCATTAAAGGAACCCCCCAAGAATACATCACTGACAAATTAGAAGAAATCACCAAGCTTTTATCAGATGACACCCTATGTTTTACGCGCAAGGTACAAACAAGATTTTCTTTACAATCTTGAACTTTTATCATTTTCAGAAAAAAAACCAAATCGAACTAATCAAGTGTGTAGAAGCCATATTGGAAAAATTCTCCGAAAAAAGCGGCTCCGAAGTAGGCTTCCACCTTTTCAAAATCGTAATCTCTGTAATTTCGTTGCGCGATATTGAAAACACCCACTTCACCATCGACCTTCTCCAACCCCTATATAAAACTCTGGGATTCCCCTACTGTGACGCTTTATGGAGCGCCTACGCGCACCGCCTTCTCATCCACATTGCCACCGACCCCAAATCTTGGCTAGTCGTGACTTCTCAGCGCTGCATTTTCGAAACGATCCTCCTCGAGTCAAATTCGGCCTTCGGGGAAAACCTCCCCACTATTGCCAACATTCTAATCCAAACTTTAAACCCAGAGGCTGATCCTGAATCTCGTTTGAAAACCTTCTGGGCTTTGTCGACAGCGTTTGACCACAAATCAGTCATTTTCGAGAAATCTGACGATCAGACGGCTTTTTTTGCCAAGCTGATTTCAGAAGTGTTTGTGCCGTCTTTGGTTTGGCACCCCGGACTGACTGCCGAAGCGCTGCGAACAATGGCAGCGGCTTGCTTATTATGTGCTTTAAACCCTTCAGGAGACGTGGATTTGTTTGCTGGGGGGGATGAATTTAGAGAGTTGTGGGAGAAGTTGGCACCATTGTTGATTTCGTTGATGGAGGATGCGGCGTACAGAAGTCGACAGTTGGCAATGGAGTGTGTCGCGGTGCTGAAGAAACACGCTTGCCAACATGGAGTGTGGAGAAACGAAGATCTGATTAGAGTGTATCCAGGTGAGAGATAAATAAATATTGGTGTTGTGTATATTGTTTTTGTAGAAATTTTGAAGAGGTTGGATGATCCTACTGAAAAAGTGAGACTTTGTGCGTTGAGAGTACTCCCTGAGGTATTCGCGGACCCACCAGAGGCTTTCAAGGAGCCTAATTTTAGGGCCCATCATGAATTAATTATTGATACACTTCTGACTCATTTTGACGACGATGATAAATGTGTTAGGGATTTAGTGTTCGGTATGTTTTATATGGAAACTTAATGTTTAACACTAGTTGCCATTTTGTAGATGTTTTGAAGGTGGTTGCCGTTTTCAATTGTGAAGAAGTACGTTCGAAGGTTGAACGCCATAAGCCACTTTTGTGTAACCAGGAGGGGTGCGACGAAGTTTTAGATTATTTAAAACAATTATTGCTACAATAAAATAATACATATTTAAAAATATCACAGTTAACTCTGATTTACTTTTTTTTCCATTTAGTGCCGCTTGGTTGGCAGCAAACGTCAACGATAACATTTGCGTTTTGCGTTGTGATTGGTGGAGTAAATTTTGATTATTTGTTGCTGTTTGTTTTGCTATTTGTGCTCGTTATCGGTAATTATTGCTTTCTTATTTCTAGTTGAGTCATTTCGTCCTAATTTTGCCTGATTTCGTTTAAAGAAGACACTAGTCGAAAGTGTTCGCCTGGAGAATCATAATCACAAAAGTGAGGTTATGTTTGTATTTATTTTTTTTCTAAAACAGCTTCCTAGTTATGTAAACCTTATTAATTTTGGAACTAGGTGAAGAATGGAAACTGTGGACATTCAAGCTGTGGAGTCGAAACTGAGCGACGTCACAGTAACTGCCATTCCGATGACTCCAAAGGTCACCCAACAACCAGGACAGTCAAAATATGCTCAGCTCCTTGGCGTTATAGAAGAAATGGGGAGAGAAGTGCGTCCCACGTACGCTGGAAGTAGAAGTTCGGCCGAACGTTTAAAGCGAGGTATTGTTCACGCAAGGATATTAGTTAGAGAGTGTTTAATAGAAACCGAAAGAAGTGCACGACAGTAATCACAGTTACCTTCAGAGACCAAAAATACCACTATGTCAATTTCAAATGAATTCAGGTATCCAAGTACAAATTCAACTGCAAATGTCAGATTACTTTTCAACTGCTTGATAGATGGTTCCAAAGTGTTAAAATAATCATAGAGGTTTATTGTAAAATGGGATTGGTGCGTCATTGTTGCAGATTATCCAGCATTGATCTCATTTTTTGGCTTTGTTCAATACTTAAACTTGTATAAAGTTGTAGATTTATATTGCTCAGGTGTAAAATAGGGAACATATTTTTACAGATTTTGTATCCAATAGTTTTCATTTTAGAGTACCATATGCACAATAAAAGGTATTTTTTTTATTACAAAAAAATCATTCAACGACTCAGCTACTACTCGTGCGTTCCTCCGCCGGAGATTCACTCGACGCGTTCACCGAAACCGGGGGCAAATAGTAGGCTTTGATCAAACCGTTGAGGCGAGCCACTTCGGTGTCCTCTCGTTCGAGATTTCGCAACATTTGTGTGAATTTTATTATGCCTTCGCGGCCACTGGGAAAACCGAAGTCTTTTATAACGTCCATTTCGACCTGCATCACTATGGGGAATAAAAACTGCATCATTTTTAGCATCTCGTTGCCGACGTTGTCTTTAGCGTCTTCGAGTTTTTTCACGCTTTGGGGGGTCTGCAGTTCTTCTAGGGTTTTGTTGAGGATTTCTATGGCCATTTCGGACGTTAATACTGGGGTGGTTTCGGAACGAGCCATTGTTTATTAGAATTTGTTTGGGAAGGGCTGTTCTAACCTCACTTTGTGGGTGGCAGGAGTGCCACGCCCATAAATTTAAATGTTCAAGCCAGAAAGATTCCAAACTGGTCATGTTTTAAACGGTGGTGTATTGTTGGTTGCATACCGCAATTAAAAACAACGTACCCCTTCCTGATTGGCGAGTTATTTATTTCGTCATAGGCTTCAAACAAGGGAGTGCGGAAATAAAATGTTAGTATGTATATTTTAAAATTTTATTTCTTTTATGAATGTAAGTGAAAATAGCTATCACGATACATAAAACTTCCATTAAACCCTTCATAAACGCGCCTATCTCCTTCTTATATTACAAAACCTATTCTAAAAAATTAGTTAATATTTACATGTTTTGAAGTAGTTTAAAACATTATTGCGTAACTCAACATGAACGGTAAATAACTGTAAATATATACAAATATAGCAAGTTAAATACAATAAACAAATATATAGAAATATATTACGTAAAATTAACCTTTTATACATAAATAACATGTTTTGTAAAATGAAGAAAATACTGGTTACACTATAAAAAAATATACACAACTAAAATAAAAATTACTGTTTTAGGCATTGAATAAATAAACGCGTGGTAAAACAAACTGAGGCAGTTACCAAACCAACCAGCATAAAACATCAACATACAAAAACTGTACATTTATCAGTCTATCGAGTGACGGATTTCTTTTGAAGTAAAGCTTCAAGCAAGCAAGTTATAAAACTCCTTAAATTTATTTAATCAAAATATAGATATGTACTTTGTATAACAATAAAATCGGTTTGTATATCTCCAAACTAAATGAGCAATAATTCCATCACATTTCGCAAAAACCATAAAACATAAACGACCAAACATTAAAAGCCACACGTGACGTGTCGCCGCAGCGTTTACTCTGTTCCAAATTATCCTAAAAACAATTGGTGTACGAGAAAGGATTTCGTGTACAGTTGCGCAAACCTTGAATTTCCGTCATTAACCGGGTGAAACCGTAAGAGCTGACCTTACCGAGGTGGGTGGCTATGTTAAGACAAGAACGGGTTCGCCTGCTCGCCGCTCTTCATCCAGGGCGCGCCGAGTTGGGCGTTGTTGGGCACCGGCGTCCACGGGTCCTGCGTGGGCGGCGGCGGCGCGCTGCCCCCGAACGCCTGGCTGCTGGGGGGGTACTGCGGCGCGCCGAAGCCGGAGTAGGCCGAGCTCGCCGGCGCCGCGAACTGCGCGAACGACGCCTGTTTTATCTCGTTTATCGAGGGCTTGGGCGGCGGCGGGTTGAACACCGGCCGCGGCGGCTGGGCTTGGCTCTCGGAGAAGGGATTTGCGGCCATCGACGAATTCAACGGCTTGCCTGAAAAAGAGAAGGCAAAATATTGAATAATTTGGATAAATAGTACACTGAAAGTTTACGATTTTTCACGACACCGTTTAAGCTTCTCCTTACACTTCTCAAACTTTTCAACTAATACTTGTCAGTTTCAATTAATAATGTAGTAATAATGGAAAAAAGTTAAAATGAAAATTTAAATTTCAAATGTTACAATCTGAAATTTGTCGTATTAACCACAACAAAAATCCTCCGAATTTGCAATTAATAAAAAAATAATTTCATGTATGATACAAGTTTTTTTTTCCAATTGCATGGTGCCAAATAATCAAGAAAAAGTCGTCTAGTAACCATTGAAATTTAATGTTAAACAAGTTATGTTGGCACCATCAACATGTCCCTTGGTCCAATTGACAGCTTGGGGTCAAACAAAGTCCCTATATTTAGGTAATTTGTGGTCAAATAACTGTCAAATAGCTGCAATGCCAACATCAATATTTTAAAAGTAAATTTCATAGCCCACTAGACGAGTTTTTCTGGTTAATATCAAATGATAAAAAAAGTGGTCTGGTCACCCATGGAACTAATTAATTAATAAATATTAAAAAAAGCTGTTCTAGAAGTACTGTTGTTTTCCCTTTAAGTTAACCTGTGAGTTTGACATTTGTATTGTCAGTGCTATAAAAAAATGCTTGAGGCGAAAATTTTTATTCATATATTTTATTTCATGGCCGACCAAAGGATGTTTTTTCGATAACATGGTGCCAAATAATCAAGAAAAAAGTTGCCCAATTACCCATGGAACTAACAGTGCAATAAACAAAAAATGCTTGAAAGAACATACAATTTTTTATTCTTAGCAAAATGAAATCAAACAAGAAAGCGATGAGAATTAATTTTTCATAATCTCAAAAACAAACACGCTGACAGTGCAGATTTTGCCAACACAATTTAAAAAATAATCATTTCATGGCCAATTAAATGACATTTTTTCGATCACATGGTGCCACATGATCAAGAAAAAACTCGTCAAGGCACCATTGAAATTTAATGTTAAACAAGTTATGTTGGCAATGCTAACATCTTCCTTGTTCGAATTGACAGTTTGGGGTCAAATGGCTGCAATGCCAATATCAATACATACTTTAAACATAAATTTCATAGCGTACTAGAAGAGTTTTTTTGGTCGATACCAAATGGTCGAAAAAATCATCTAGTCACCCATGGAATTAATTAATTAATTAATTAATAATAATTTAATTTCCCATAACCTCAAAAACGAACACGCTGACAGTGTAGATTTGACACAATTTAAAAAATAATAATTCTATAACCAACTAAAGGACGTTTTTTCAATCATGTAGTGCGAAATGAAAAAAAAAGACTGAAATTTAATGTCAAACAAGTTCTGTTGGCAACACCAACGCGTTCCTTGTTCGAATTGATAGTTTGGGCAAATAGGTCGCAATGCCAAGGTCAATATATTAGAAATAAATTTTATAGCCCCCTAGACAATTTTTTCTGATTAATACCAAATGATCAAAATAAAAAGTCGTCTAGTCACCCATGGAATTAATTAATTAATAAAAGAACTGTTCTGATAGCAGTACTGTTGTTTTCCCTTAAAGTTAACCTGTCAGTTTGACATTTGTATTGCCAATACAATCAAAAAAATTCTTGAAAGAACATCAAATTTTTATTATTCAAAGTTATTACGAACATGAAATCAAAACAGAAAACGATAAGAATTAATTTCCTATAATTTCAAAAACGAAGACGTTGAAAGTGCAGATTTTGCTGAGAGAATTTATAAAATAATAATTTCATGGCCAACTCGAGGACGTCTTTTCGAAATGATAAAAAAAGTCATCTAGCAACCATTGAAATTTATAATGTTAAAAAAATTAGGTTGTCAACACCGACGTTTTCCTTGTTCGAATTGACAGTTTGGGGTTAAACAAAATCCCTATCTTTACGGACTTTAGGGCCAAATAACTGTCAAATAGCTACAATGCCAACCTCAATATTTTAAAAATAAATTTTAAAGCCCACTAGACGATTTTTTCTGGTAGATACCAAATGATCGAAAAAAAAAAAGTTGGCTAGTCACCCATGGAATTAATTAATTAATAATAAAAAAACTGGTAGTACTGTTGTTTTCCCTTGAAGTTAACCCACCAGTTTGACATTTGTATTGTTAGTGCAATGAAAAATGCTTGTAACACAAAATTTTTATTATCCAAATTTATTACGAAAATGAAATCAATCAAGAAAACGATGAGAATTAATTTCTCATAATTTCAAAAACGAAGACGTTGAAAGTGCAGATTTTGCCGACACAATTTATAAAATAATAATTTCATGGTCAACTCGAGGACGTTTTTTCGAAATGATAAAAAAGTCATCTAGCAACCATTGAAATTTATAATGTTAAAAAAGTTAGGTTGTCAACACCGACGTTTTCCTTGTTCGAATTGACAGTTTGGGGTCAAACAAAATCCCTATCTTTACGGACTTTAGGGTCAAATAACTGTCAAATAGCTACAATGCCAACCTCAAAAAAAGTGCAGATTTTGCCGACACAATTTATAAAATAATAATTTCATGGTCAACTCGAGGACGTTTTTTCGAAATGATAAAAAAGTCATCTAGCAACCATTGAAATTTATAATGTTAAAAAAGTTAGGTTGTCAACACCGACGTTTTCCTTGTTCGAATTGACAGTTTGGGGTCAAACAAAATCCCTATCTTTACGGACTTTAGGGTCAAATAACTGTCAAATAGCTACAATGCCAACCTCAATATTTTAAAAATAAATTTTATAGCCCACTAGACGATTTTTTCTGGTAGATATCAAATGATCGAAAAAAAAAGTTGTCTAGTCACCCATGGAATTAATTAATTAATAATAAAAAAACTGGTAGTACTGTTGTATCCCTTGAAGTTAACCTACCCGTTTGACATTTGTATTGTCAGTGCAATAAAAAAATGCTTGAAACATAAAATTTTTATTATTCAAATTTATTACGAAAATGAAATCAAGCAAGAAAACGATGAGAATTAATTTGCCATAATTTCAAAAACGAAGACGTTGAAACAGCAGATTTTGCCGACACAATCAACTCGAAGACGTTTTTTCGAAATGATAAAAAAAGTCATCTAGCTACCATTGGAATTTATAATGTTAAAAAAGTTAGGTTGTCAACACCGACGTTTTCATTGTTCGAATTGACAGTTTAGGGTCAAACAAAATCCGTATCTTTACGGACTTTTGGGTCAAATAACTGTCAAATAGCTGCAATGCCAACCTCAATGTTTTAAAAATAAATTTTATAGCCCACTAGACAATTTTTTCTGGTAGATACCAAATGATCGAAAAAAAAAGGTGGCTAGTCAGCCATGGAATTAAATAATTAATAACAAAAAACTAGTACTGTTGTTTTCCCTTGAAGTTAACCCTACCAGTTTGACATTTGTATTGTCAGTGTAATAAAAAAATGCTTGAAACATAAAATTTTTATGATTCAAATTTATTATGAAAATGAAATCAATCAAGAAAACGATGATAATTATTTCTGAAAATGTCAAATTTCATGGCCCACTAGATGAGTTTTTCTAGTTGATATCAAATGATCGACAAAAAAGTCATCTAGTCACCCACGGAATTAATTAATAAATAAATAATAAACAAAAATTGGTAGTACTGAAACATAAAATTTTTATTACTCAAAGTTATTACCACATTGAAATCAATCAAGAAAACGATGAAAAAAATTTTTTCATAATCTTAAATTTAATAGTTCAGTAGACGAGTTTTTCTGGTTGATATCAAATGATCGACAAAAAGTCGTCTAGTCATCTATGGAATTAATTAATGGAAAAAAAAAAAAACTGCTGGTGGTACTGTTGTTTTCCCTTGAAGTTAACCTGTCAGTTTGATATTTGTATTGCCAGTGCAATAAAAATATGCTTGACAGAAACATACAATTTTTATTATCCAAAATTATTATCAAAATGAAATCAAACAAGAAAACGATGAGAATTAATTTCCCAAACGAAAATGTTCACAGTGTAGACTTTGCCAACACAATAAAATAAAATTAAAGAAAAAAAAAAAAACATGGGCGACTAAAGGACGTTTGTTCGATCATATGGTACCAAATGATAAAAAAAGTCATCTAGCAACCACTGAAATTTAATATCAAACAAGTTATGTTGGCAATACCAGCGCCTTCCTTCTTTGAATTGACCAAAGACTTCAAATATATACATATTTAAAGTCTCTGGAATTGACAGTTTGGGGTAAAACAAAATCCCTATATTTGCGGACTTTGGGGTCAAATAGCTGTCAAATAGTTGCAATGCCAACATCAATATTTAAAAAATAAATTTCATAGCCCACTAGACGATTTGTTCTGTTGATACCCAATGACTGAAAAAAGTCGTGTAGTCAACCATGGAATAAATAAATCCTATATAAATAATAATAAAAAACTGTGTTGGGAGCACTGTTGTTTTCCGTTTAAGTTAACCTGTCAGTTTGACATTTGTATTGCCAATACAATAAAAAAAAATCCTTGAAAGAACATACAATTTTTATTATTCACAGTTATTACGAATTATTTCCCAAAATGTAAAATTTCATAGCTCACTAGACTAGAGTTTTTCTGGTTAATATCAAATGATCGACAAAAAAGTCATCTAGTCACCCATGGAATTAATTAATAAATAATAAACAAAAATTGGTAGTACTATTGTTTTGGCTTGACGTTAACCTGTCAGTTTGACATTTGTATTGTCAGTGCAATTAAAATATGCTTGAATGAACATAACATTTTTATTATCCAAAATTATTATCAAAATGAAATCAATCTCCATATTTAATATTTAATTTTTCTGGTAAATAACTGATCGAAAAAAAAAGTCGTTTAGTCACCCATGGAATTAATTACATAATGCAAAAAAAAAACTGCTAGTAGGACTGTTGTTTTCCCTCGAACTTAACTTGCTAGTATAACATTTGTATTATAAAAAAAAAATACTTGAAACATAACATTTTTATTATCCAAAGTTATTACCAAAATGAAATCAAACAAGAAAACGATGAGAATTAATTTTCCATAATCTCAAACTTCATAGCCCACTAGATGAGTTTTTCTGGTTGATATCAAATGATCGACAAAAAAAAATGTCGTCTAGTGGAATTAATGAAAAGAAAAATAAATAAATAATTAAATATTAAGAACTCTGCTGGTAGTACTTGTTTTCCTTAAAGTTAACCTGTCAGTCTGACATTTCTATTGTCTGTGCAATAAAAAAAAAGATTGAAACAAAATTTTTATTATCCAAAGTTATTAGCAAAATGAAATAAAAAAAAGAAAACTATGAGAATTAATTTTCCATAATCTCAAATTTCATAGTCCACTAGATGACCCTTTCTGGATTGAAAAAAAACTGCTGGTAAAGAAAAGAATGAGAATAATTTCAACAGAATTTAAAAAAGAATAATTACATGGCCGACTAAAGGACGCTTTTTCGACCATATGGTGCCAAAAAAAAAAATAGCAACCACTGGAATTTAATGTTAAACAAGTTATGTTGGCCACACCAACGCATTCCTTGTTCGAATTGTCAGTTTGGGCTCATACAAAGTCTCTATATTTACAGACTTTGATGTCATATAACTGTCAAAAAGCTGCAATGCCAACATCAATATTTTAAAAATAAATTTCATAGCCTACTAGACAATTTTTTCTGGTTGATACCAAATGATAAAAAAAGTCGTCTAGTCACCCATGGAATTAACTAATTAATTAATAATAATAAAACTGTGCTGGTGGTACTGTTGCTTTCCCTTTAAGATAACCTTTCAGTGTGACACTTGTATTGTCAGTGTAATAAAAAAAAAATGCTTGAAAGAACATGAAATTTTTATTTTTCAATATTACCAATGAAATCAATCAAGAAAACGATGAGAATTAATTTCCCATAATCTCAAAAACGAACATGCTGACAGTGTAGATTTTGTGTAGACAATTTAAAAAATAATAATTTCATGGCCGACTAATCGACGTTTTCTGAATCATGTGGTGCCAAATGATAAAAAAAAAATCATCTAATACTCACCGAAATTTACTGTTAAATAAGTTATGTTGGCAACACCAACGCCTTGCTTAGACCCTATATTTACGAATTTTAGGGTCAAATAAGTGTGTCAAATAGCTGCAATGGCAACATCAATATTTTAAAAATAATTTCATAGGCCTTTTTTTGGTCGCTATCATATCATCGAAAAAAAAAGTCGTCCAGTCAGCCATGGAAATAATTAAAAAAAAATTTCATCTCGCGTAACTCAAAGTATTATCATTTTGGCATCTGTTAATGAGTGTAACGAGAAGCTTAAAACAGGAAAAAAGTCAAAGATATTCAAAATCTCCAGACTTTTTACGGTTATCCACGACACCCTGTAAACCAAAACTACTTACTCGTCGTGACTAAATTATCCAAATTGACAAGAGCGGAGTTCTCTCCGAGAAAACTCTGCGGGGTCTTTTTCGTAGCACCAGTCGATGGACTCAAGGTCGACGTCGGTAAGGCATCCCCTAACAAGTTCAACTCGAACGGATCATTGGAACTGTTGTGTGTGCCGTTCGTTGTCGTCGTTTTGGGTGAGGAACGATTCCTGTTAGTTATCACATCGAACTCGTCCAAATCCGTGGAAGAACCCTGACTAGTGGGCGACCATGGGTCGTGTTTCTGTTGGGTACTCGTGGTCTGAGGTGGCGGTGGCGGCGTCGTGCTGGTCAGCACCCCGCCCCACGGGTCCGGCTTGGGCATGGGCGGGACCACCGGCTGCCAGGGGTCCCCGGAGGCTGGCGTATTGCTGGGTGGGGAGGAGATGGGGTTGGGTTGCCACGGGGACGATTGCTACAAACAATCAAACGGTCAGATCAGTAAATTTTGATTTCGCAAATTTACAATTGTTTTAATTTCAATGATCAATAAGAATCAATAGCTTAGCGGTGCTTTCAGCGATAGAAATCTGTACACTTTGAGTGCTGTTAAAAATACACCAAATAATAATTCAAAGCAGAGACATAAATTCTCCATTATCATCGCACACAGTCCACTAACCCTTTAATCAAACCACACGTGAAATATTTCTAAGAATACAATTAGTAGAAACGACACGCCATCAGCATGCAATTCCAAGTCTAGTGTACTTGAACTTGAGGAAAATCAATAAAACGCCAGAAACCAGTGCATACATAAAACACCAGCTGTACTTCTAGCTTGTTAGTTGTACTGGCAACACTGTAAATCAATGCAAACCCAAGTACGTACCACCGGGAGAAAATCAAAAAGACTCAAATCCAACGACTAAGTTGAAAAGACAAACATGTAATGAACGTATAAATGACCACGATAATTAGCTACCTGAGGTCGAGGTGGTTGCGGCATCCCCCACGGGTCCACAGCAGGCGCCGTCGCCTCCCCTAAATTCACATCCAAAAGGTCCACCATGTGGCTGTGATGTTCTTGCTTGCTCCTTTCCTCATTCAGTCTAAAACAAAAACAATAAAAAAATCGCCATTCTAAACATGTAACAATGATAATAAATACCAAGTAAACGCTTTTATCTGTTGTAGTAAAAGACCAAAGACGTACTTTTGACATTTTTTTAACTTTAATACCCCCATCAATGGGGGTTACGTCAATTGAAAGTATGCAACCAATGCTACATTAAAAATGCCTACTTGATTTAACAAACAAGCAAAATGTCAACATTTTGGGGAATTTTGTCCCGGTTGGTACAACAAATGTCAAATCCTAACAATGGACGTTCAAATTTTCACAATAATAAATTATTATTAACAATGTGTGAAGCTGTCACTTGACAATAACATTTAAAGCATCTACTCGAGTTTATTATCACCAAGTCATTACTTGAAGTCCTGCTGGCTCTGGCTCAGCGCCAGCTGCAATCTCACGTCGTCGGACTTCCTCTTTTGTTCCTCCTGCTCGGCTTCCTCCCTCGACATCGCTAAGGCCAATTGTAGCTGGAGTTCTTCCTCTCCGGCGGTTTGTGGTCGCGCGTTTTCGATTTCGCGTGGCAAGTCCATGTCGCGGCTGGTGTTCCAGTCGCCCCTGAAGGCCGGGTACTTCGGACTGCATGGGGTGTCCAGACCGCCATCGCTTCCGAAGCCGCTGGCACTCTGGGCGAAGCGCTCTTTCGCCTTGAGGGCCCTCGCTCTTTCGTTTTTCAGTCTTTCGTCGTCCTTCAGGAGGTTCACCAGCTGTTTGGCTTTCTCTCGAACGTTCTGTCCTTGATCTTTGCCTGCCGATTTATCGACCACGGTTAGAATAGTGTGTAGAGAGTTCTTTGAAGTGGAAAGTACACGGTCATTGTTTTATTGCTAAGGAATTGGAGGTGTGGGATGGCGTGTCGTAATCCGATGAGTCGTGAGATTGCGGATTATGCATTGGGGTAATTTTGTTTTAAATTATGGGTGGAACGGTTTAATTTCTGGTGATGAATAAGAGTAGATAGTTTTTTAAATGTATGTAATTAAATTATGTAATGCGTAATAACCATGTGACTTAAAAAAAATTATGACGCAGATATGATTCTCAGAACAAATTTTGTAAGACGGTTGGTTTGGAATCCCATAGATACCACGAAACAACAATATTTATGTTTTTGTGTTTAAAGTTTCAACATAGCTGAGTCGGACGAGTTGTCACTCTAGCCACCGTTTGCGCAACTTAAGTTTAAAAACTAACTGAGACGTAACTTTTTTCGTCATTGTTATCCACTCTTATTTCCTAATTTCTATTATAATGAATAATGAGAATTATTATTTTCAGATTAAGTATCAATTCTTACGATAGTAGAAAATTCTAGATCTATTCGAATCGCTACAATAATCTTACAAAGTGATAACAAAGATAATACAATAAAAAAATAATAACAATGACATCATCTTAAAAAAATGAGAGTACAGAAATTATCGTTTTTTGAGAAACCGGAGACCACTTTCCGACCAGTTACTACATCAAGATAACAGTGATTTATAAAGTGATATAGGACCTGCGATATGCAAAACAGGTCTAACGTTTTACGACCACCCGTTTCGCGGTCTTTTCTAAGGTTCACATTAATAATGTTGAGGTCAAAATAGCGACGAATACACAGAAAAACTATGTTTAAACAACGCAACAGTAACTTTTTTTTCAATGTTGGCAACTGTCCATTATCACGTAAACATGGGTTGCTTGATATTACGGTGCAATCGATGTTATCGTTGCGTTATCTCTAACAGAACACTTATTAATCGATTTTTCACTATTTCACTCTACGGCTGTTGTCATAATAATTAATATCTAATTAATATTTTATTTCGCAAATTAATATGAAGCTAAAACCGCAGTAGTACACCAAATTTAACTCGTTTTTAATCGTGTCAATTGATGACAATTATTAAACTAACATTCCAATCTACGTCACTTTTAACGTCGACAAAAAAAATATTGTCCTGAAGAAGCTAAAACAGACGCAACGGAAGGCTAAAAATAACAACGGTTTTTATTCATTCGGTATCTGGAAACGCTTTTGTTACTCTGCTTTGTTTGAATTTCCCCTTTCACGTTCTTTTAGAATAACCCGTAACTGACTTCACCCTTCAAAAGACTCTGTCGACTGCCAAGTTCCCCTTATTGCCGCTTTGGTTTCAATGTTTTGTTAACGTAGACGGATAAAATGATATACAATCAAAGTTGACATAAATAAAAATGAAACTGAACGGGAAATATTGCATACTGACTTAGGAAAACTAGTTTAAATTTAAAAACATTGGTTGGAAGTTATGAAATTATTTCAATAGAAGTTGATTCGCTCTTCCAATAAATCCGTTCTTGAACTACAAAGACAGAAGCATGTAATAACGCCAAAGTTAGAAAATTTCAGAGCACTAAGTTTTTTAATTTTTTTTTTTTTTTCAAAAATCTACATAGAGTAAGGTAAAAAATACGGCTGGATTAATAACACACAGGTATAGAAAAATATTATTTTGCGCATTTTAAATACCATTTATTACTTGGCAAAATTTTAAGATGACATCTTATATTTTTGGTGGGAATGATTAGATAAAATTGTACTATAATCAGTCCATTAGTTTCGGATTTTTTGTAAAAAATTCAAAACTGAATAACGATATTTTGTAATATAGTACAGAGTCATTTATAAGCAAGCAATAGCCCCGCCCACCCACGCCCTCTCGATTTCGGTGATTACTCTTGATATTATTGTTCAGTAAGTTACAAAATCAAACTTATCTTAAGAAATGCTAGCCCCGCCCATCCGACCTCTATTTTCTTAGAGAGTATGTAATTTGCCATAGTCAATCTTATCTTAGCAAGTACTAGCTCCGCCCACCCGTGCTGTTCTCATTCTAATGATTTTATTTCTGTTCAATATGAAATCCACCCTTCATTTGGACTAAATAAAATAAATCACTGAAATGTGATTTATTTTGTGGTGGGTGGGCGGGGTTAATTATGTTCTTTTGTAGAGTGAGAATGGGAACTAATAAAATGTAGGCTGTTAAGAAAAGCGGTAATCGTAATTTTTTGTTATACTATTTGCTGTAAGATTTATTTTTTATTTCAGAAGTTTTATTACAGTCTTTAATAAACAAAAAATATCCCCGCCCGTTCACCCCCTCTTGATTCCGGTGATTACTCTTGATATTGTTCAGTCATTTACTTTAATTTAAAAAAAATCATTTTATTTAGATTTCAAAATTTTTATAATTGAAGCTTTTGACAAACTTTGCTAAAAATCCATAAAAAATTCTAGTATGTAGGTAAATCGACAAGCACATTCGAAAAACATAGTTTGCTGGTCCCAGACTAAGATTTTTGAAATTTTCGGTTTCAAAAACAAAACTTTTTAAATTTCTCAAAAATTGCCGTATCTCATTCTGATGATTCTGAAAATGTGGTCGGAATTTTCGAAGAAACTTTACCGAAAATGACTTCTGTACATCAAAATCAACGAAAAAATGGCTTTACGTAATTTTCGAAAGTGTTTGAAAATGGTCAAAAATTTCAAAATTTTGAAAATTCAAGTTTAACTTGTTCTTAGTCTTTTATAAAAAAAGGTGAGAATCATAATTTTTTCTAATACTATTTGCTATAAGATTTATTTCTTATTTCAGAAGAAAAAAAAATGAGAGAACGGGTGGGTGGGCGGGCTTAAATTTAACTTTTTTCTACAGAGTCATTTATAAGCAAGCAATAGCCCCGCCGACCCACCCCCCCTCGATTCCGGTGATTACTCTTGATATTGTTCAGTCAGTTACAAAATCAGACTTATCTTAAGAAATGTTAGCCCCGCCCACCCGCCCTCTATTTTCTTAGAGGGTATGTAATTTGCCATAGTCAATCTTACCCCGCCCACCCGTGCTGTTCTCATTCTAATGATTTTATTTCTGTTCAATATGAAATCCACCCTTCATTCGGACTAAATAAAATGAATCACTGAAATGTAGGCGGGGTGGGTGGGCGGGGCTAATTATATGTTCTTTTGTAGAGTGAGAATGGGAACTAATAAAATGTAAGCTGTTAATCCTAATTAGAAGAAAACAATGAAAGAACGGGTGGGTGGGCGGCGCTAAGTTTAATTTTATCTCAAAGTCTTTAATAAACAAAAAATATCCCCGCCCGCCCACCCCCTCTTGATTCCGGTGATTACTCTTGATATTGTTTAGTCATTTGCTCTAATTTAAAAAATTCATTTAATTTAAATTTCAAAATTTCAAGCTTTTGGCAAACTTTGTTATAACTCCACAACAAATTCTCGGATATTGGTTGTATTGAAGAGCTTTTTCCAAAAAGATAACATGTTGCTGGTCCCACATCAAGATTTTTTAAATTTTCAGTTTCAAAATTAAGATTTTTAAGTATCCCTAATATTGACAAATTTTATTTTGGTGGATTTTCGAACAAACGTTGCCGAAAATGACTTCTACAAATCGAAATCAACGGAAAAATGGTTTTAGGTTGTTTCGAAGGTGCTTGGCGAAAAATTTGAAAAATTTCGACTTTGACAAAGTTGCCTAAAAACCCATAAAAAATTTTGAGATGTAGATATCGACGAGCTAATAGGAAATATAGTTTATTGGTGGTCCTAGACCGATTTTCGAAATTTTCGGTTTTAATTTAGAATAACCAAAAAATAGTCGTATTTTTTGATGACTCTGAAAATGTGGCACAGAAGGTGCCGAAAATGACTTCTGCAAATCGAAATCAACGAAAAAAGACGTTAAGTAATTTTCAAAGGTGTTTGGAGAAGGCTAATCGTAATTTTTTGTTATACTATATAGTATCTTTGTAAAAATGTTGATAACGTCATCACAAAATTTTGTTAAGGGAAAACTTTACTTTAACATTACATACATATTTTTATTTTAACTTATAAGGATTTTCATGAAAAATAAAATTCGCATAATCAAATTTTATAATTTTTAGATTTTTTAATTTTTCGTTTCCTCAGTTTTTCGAGTTCTTGATTTTTAAATTTTCATTTTCTCGATTACATCACAATTTTTCGTTGTTTCATTTCCTTTATTTTATCAATGTTTCGTTTATTCAGTTTTTCAAATTTTCAGTCGATTTTCCAAATTTTAAATTTTTCAGTTTTGCAATTTTTCGATTTCTCAGTTATTCGATTTCCCGATTTCTTTCATTTTCAATATGTATTTCGATTTTACAATATTTCGTTTTTTCGATTTTGCAATTTTTCGATTTTTTAGTTACTTAATTTTTATCAAAATTTGCATTTCATTCTTTTTCTTTTTTTTTGGACTTTTCAATTTTACATTTTTTTATTCGAAAATTTGAAAAATACAACACTTAAAAATCAGAAAACTAAAAAATCTGCAGTTTTGCCCTTTATTGATTATTTCAGTTTTTCAATTTTCAATCTTTCGATTTTTGAATTTTTCGTTTCTTCAATTTTTCAAGTTTTATAATATTTCATTTTTTGTTTTTGATTTTTCAATTTTAAAATTTTGCAATTTTTTAAATTTTTTTGATTCGAAAAATTGAAAGTCGGAAAAATGGAAAAATTGAGAAAACCAAAAATTGCAAAATTAAAAAGTGGAAAATCGAAAAGCCTAGAACTGAAGAAAACTAAAAATTTTAAAGATCGAAAAAAAAAATCAATGAATCGAAAATTGGAAAACGCAAAAATTGTAAAATCGAAAAATTATACTCGTAGAATGGTCAAAACTGTGGTCGAAAAATGGAAAAACTAAAATCGAGGAACTGAAAAATCGAATAAATGAAAAAGTTTTAAAATCCAGTAATTCAAAAATGAGAAAATTTTAAAACCGTAAAACTGAAAAAGAGAAAAATTAAAAAATTACAATTACATGTTATCATCAACGCGCGGAATTGTGTTTCATACGCTAGATCCAGTGCTGTCGCGGCGGTAGTTTGATTACAAATATATTTTTCTTTTGGACTATATCAACAAAATATAGCATTTCAAGATCACAAATCTGTGGTCCTGTGTTTGAAAAATTAAAAAGGGCATCGAGTATTTTTATTTGAAGTAATATAGTAATATAGAAGTAGTTTTTTAAGAAGCTGTAAACATTCCTAGCGACGCACTGGCTACGACCTTGTGGACCAAATCAAAGCGTCCCCGCTACTCGCCGTAAAACACACCTTGCTTCAACTGGGGAATTGCATCCGTAAGATACTTTTCCGCCTAGTGGTTATCATATATATTTAAAATGAAAAGTAAAAAAATCACAAATCAAAAATAATCCGAAAATTGGAAAATTTCACATGAAAAAGGAAAAATTATAAAATTAGAACATTGAAAAACACAAAAACTGACAAAAAATAAAAAACCGAAACGAAAAACTGCAAATCGAAAAATTGAAGAAGCGCAAAATTGAAAAAACAAAAAATTTTAATATCGGAATATTGGAAAACCGAAAAATTGTCAAAATAAAGCAAACCAAAAACCCAAACAAAAAGTTGCAATCGAAGATTTGAAGAAATCAAATATTGAAAAATCGAAAAAATGAAGATGTTTCAAAATCCAATAATTGAAAAATAGAAAAATTCTAAGGGGCCAATTCCAAGTTGGCGACGCAAGTCACTGGTGCAGCGCAACTTTATAATGCTAATTTGGGTATCAAATGCTGGTTGCTAGGGGTGACGGAATCAACAAACGCAGTTGTGTCGAATTTTCCATTGAAATTTGCACCATGGAGTTGCGGCACCTCTAGTAGGCAGTGCAAGTTGGCGCAATTTATCTCGAAAAATTGCGTTTGTTTATTCCGTCACCCCTAACAACCTGCATTTGATACCTAAATTAGCATTATAAAGTTGCGCTGCACCAGTGACTTGCGCCACCAACTTGGAATTGGCCCCTAAGACCGTAAAATTAAAAAGTATTTAAAAAAATATTATTATTATCATTATTACATATTTAATGTGAAAACTAGAAACATTGCAAATCAAAAATCGAAGAAATGAAAAATAAAAAATCCTGAAACTAAAGAATCTAAAATTGAAAAAACGAAAAATTAGAAAATCTAAAAATTGCATATCGAAAAATTGAAAAATTTCACATGCAACAAAAAAAAAATACAAATTATAAAACCAAATTATTGAAAAACTGAAAAATTGAAACATCGAAAAATTGCAAAATCTAAAAACTGAAACATCCAAAAGTTGGAAAATTGAAAAAATTGACACTGAAAAAACAAAAACATGTAAAAATAAAAAAACCGAAACGACAAATTGCAAATCTAAAATTTAAAGAAATGAAAAATTAAAGAATCGAAAAACTGAAAAATTAAAAGTTGAAAATTTGAGAAATTTTAAATCGGAAAATTGCAAAATCTAAAACTGAAGAAACAAATTAAAATTGAAAAAAAAATATATAAAATCGGAAAATAGAATAACTGAAATGAAAAATAAAGAACCGAAACTAAAATAAAGGTTATCATCAAAAATAAAATTCAAGTCAAAAAAGCTGCGGGACTGTTATTTACGCCATTGCTTTTTATTTTATAGAGGTTATCTGAAAACAAAAATTGCAAACAATTTTTTATAATATTTTAAGGAAGTTGGGCTACACTTCAAGGGCGAGGGAAGTTCTGTAGAAATAACTTTCCACTAATTTTTTTGCACATTTACGATAGGGCTAACTTAGCAAAATTTTGAGAAAATGTCATTATATTTTTGGTAGGAATGATTGTTGTATATAAATTTCACAATTAGTCCAGCAGTTTCGGAGATTAAACATTTCTGTAATAAATTGACAACGGACGGCAGACGGAAATCAAACGACAGACAGACGGAAACAGAAGACCTACTTTTCAAAACTCTAGGACCTTTTGTTTATCAGAAGCTAATTTTATAGTGTTATTTTGCCAATTCTAGAACTTTCTAGCTACAATTTATTACAATTAAGTTTCTTTAAGGCTCCTTCAAGATTTACAATTCCCGACAGCTTAAAACAAAATTTCAGAGCAACAATTTTTTTAGTTTTTCAAATTTCAAATCTGTTTGCCCAATTTTTACTTTTTTTTTTTCAAAAATCTACTAAGATGTCTAAGGTAAAAAATATGGCTGGATTAATAAATAAATCACTGCTATAGAAGAATATTATTTTGCAGATTTTAAATAAAAATCTTTTTTTTGTTTTATGTTATGCCTTTTTTCTTAATATAGGTTGTCATCTGTTTTAAATTTTTGTTGTGAAAAGATGACTACGTATATTAGGAAAAAAACGTAAAATATAAGCCCCACCCACCCACCCTACCTCAATTGTGATGATTTTTTTAATTCGTCGTGAGTCAAGAGGGCGGAAATTAATTGCAAAATCCTTATTTCTCCGCAAGAAATTACCAGGTTTTTAAGTATCGTGTTGTCCAAGGAATGCTACGTATATTAAGTAAAAATTAAAGTCCGATTGAGATCAAGACGAAGAGGTGGGGCTTATTTTTCGGCTTTTTTTTACTTAATCCATACAGTTTGCTTTAAACGATTAGTCAAAAACATATTTCACATAACAATTTTTCGTAGGAAAACAAGGATTTTGCAAATAAGCTCCGCCCCACGACTTACGACGGGTAAAAAAATCATCACGATTGAGATAGGGCGGGTGGGCGGGGCTTATATTTGGCCTTTTTTTTCTTAATATACGTAGTCATCTGTTTTAAATTTTTGTTCTGAAAAGATGACTACGTATATTAGGAAAAAAAAAACGCAAAATATAAGCCCCACCCACCCACCCTACCTCAATTGTGATGATTTTTTTAATTCGTCGTGAGCCAAGAGGGTGGAGATTAATTGCAAAATCCTTATTACTCCGCAAGAAATTACCAGGTTTTTAATTATCGTGTTGTCCAAGGAATGCTACGTATATTAAGTAAAAATTAAAGCCAGATTAAGATCGAGACAAAGGGGTGGGGCTTATTTTTTGACTTTCTATTTTACTTAATCCATATAGTTTGCTCTAAACGATTAGTCAAAAACATATTTCACATAACAATTTTTCATAGGAAAATAAGGATTTTGCAATTAAGCTCCGTCCCACGACTTACGACGGGAAAAAAAATCATCACGATTGAGATAGAGCAGGTGGGCGGGGCTTATATTATGCCTTTTTTTCTTAATATCTCTTCTTTTCACAACAAAAACTTAAAACAGATGACTACGTATATTAAGAAAAAAAGGCAAAATATAAGCCCCACCCACCCACCCTACCTCAATTGTGATGATTTTTGTATTCGTCGTGGGCCAAAAGGGCGGAGCTTACTTGCAAAATCCTTATTTCTCTGCAAGAAATTAGCATAATCAGTCCAGCCCAGAATATTTGGAGATTATTTGTCTCGACAACGGACGATAAACGGACAACAGCTGACATCCAGACGGAAAAATAAACTCATTTTTTCATATTCTAAGCAGTTTTTTTATTGTTACTTTGTGCAAATTCCGCCAGCCATCCTTAGAAAAATATTTACGCAAACCCGTCTTCAAAAGAAGTGTTTACTTCCACCATCGAATTACCCAGTCTCGTTCCTTAGATAAACATAATTACCAAACTAATAAAAAAGTAATCAACTTTAATAACTTTCCTCTCAATCCCGATTTCATTCTTACCCCTCACGCAAATCCCACCACCCCCCTAATCCCTAATCCACTCACCCTCTTCCAAATACTGAAAGTCCTTCAGCGTCTGTATCGCGAAAATGTTCTCCTTGCACTGCTGCCCCACCTTCTCCGACCCAGTTTTGATTAAATACTCCAGAAGCACCAAAGCTTTGTAGACGTGCCGCCAATTCCTCCCGTGGTCGTTCAGCCTCTTCCACACCATCTGCATGATTTCGCTAAAGGCCACCACGTTGTACGTCAGATCGGCGATTTCGGCCATAATCGTGCTGCTCGGACCCCATGGGTCGTTCGAGGTCGCCTCGCGGACCTTCTTCTGGGCATCGGAATAGTTGTGAGCAAAGTTTTTCAGATTGCGTCGAATCCCAGCCACATTCACTTGCATATCGTGGGAACCTCGTCTCATCTACGGACAGAACGAAAGGGAAGGTAGAGAGTTTTCGATAGGCGGCGAGGCCGAGATGTGGTCGGGGTAAATGTTTTTCCTTTCTTTGCCGCTAAATTATTCACAATTTTGTTTCGGATGGAGTAATGTTTACATGCGGTTATTTCGCAAGGGAATTCGATGAAATGGGAGAGTTTATGTTGTTTGTTGAGAAGAACTCGGCCGACTGTGCAGTCGTAAAAAGAGATCATAAAGTGAGTCATGGGAGACGTTACTTAGTTTTTCTGTCAATGATAAAATACGATCGGTGGAGCTTGAAAGATGGATTAGTTAACGTAATGCAGGCATTTTTGTTGGCGAATGTTTCTACGTCTGGGTTTTCTTAAAAACCTCTTTTGTCGTTTCTACGAGTCTTTGTAACTAAAATAACACACTTTTCTTTGCCAGAGATCTCTGCATTGCAGTTATATTTACTGAAAGAATGTCAAAATAAATCTACGTGAGCTTATATCTATTTATTTATTTATTTTTTTTTTTTGAAAGACTAGATATGGATGAATAGAATTTATACTATAGACGTTGATAACACAGAAACTTTCCCAGTTTATTAGTTTATATATCTAGAAATTATTAATTTAGATTGTTGGTTAAACAAAACAATTTAAATGTTACTCTTTAAAAATAAAAGTTCCTCTAATTTCACTCGTTTTTATTAGAAAGTGGCTACATCATCCACAACCGCAACCAAAATACGAAAAGCGACCAATCAGAAGTGAATTTTCTATTAGTGTTGGACGCCGAATAGTGTCATATTTTTTGGAATTCTCAACAATATTCAAGATGGCGTCACAGTTTTTTAGAAATCTGAAAAGACAAATTTTGGTTAGCATACTAACGTTAATTTGTCGTCATACGACAAGCGACCAATCAGAAGTGAGTTTTCTGTTAGTGTTGGACGTCAAATATTATTTTATCAACATTTCGATTAAATCTCTTAAATAATCCGACATAAAACTGTAGAATCTGATCGTCCAAGGTTATTTTGTGCACAAGTACGTCATGTTACACATTTAAAGTGAGATATTCCTAATATTATTCGGGATTGCGTCACATTTTTCTGGAATTTTGAAAAGACAAATTTTGGTTAGCATACTAACGTCAACTTAACGTCATACGAGAAGCGACCAATCACAGGTGAGTTTTCTATTAGTGTTGGACGTCGAATAGTGTTTTAGCAACATTTCGTTTAATCGCTTAAATAATTTGACATAAAGCTGTTAAATCTGATGGTCCAAACTTATTTTGCTATTAGTCAAATTACACATTTAAAATCAGTTATTCTCAACAATATTCAAGATAGCGACACAGTTTTTTGGAAATCTGAAAAGACAAATTTTGGTTAGCATACTAACGTTAATTTGTCGTCATACGACAAGCGACCAATCAGAAGTGAGTTTTCTATTAGTGCTAGACGTCGAATATTATTTTATCAACATTTCGATTAAATCTCTTAAATAATCCGACATAAAACTGTAGAATCTGATGGTCCAAGGTTATTTTGTGCACAAGTACGTCATGTTACACATTTAAAGTGAGATATTCCTAATATTATTCGGGATTGCGTCACATTTTTCTGGAATTATGAAAAGACAAATTTTGGTTAGCATACTAACGTCAACTTAACGTCATACGAGAAGTGACCAATCACAGGTGAGTTTTCTATTAGTGTTGGACGTCGAATGGTGTTATAGCAACATTTCGTTTAATCGCTGAAATAATTTGACATAAAGTTGTTAAATCTGATGGTCAAAACTTACTTTGTGAATAAGTAAGTCAAATTACATACTTAAAATGAGATATTGTCAACAATATTCAAAATGGCGACACAGTTTTTTGGAAATCTGAAAAGACAAATTTTGGTTAGCATACTAATGTTAATTTGTCGTCATACGACAAGCGATCAATCAGAAGTGAGTTTTCTATTAGTGCTGGACGTCGAATAATATTTTATCAACATTTCGATTAAATCTCTTAAATAATCCGACATAAAACTGTAGAATCTGATGGTCCAAGGTTATTTTGTGCACAAGTACGTCATGTTACACATTTAAAGTGAGATATTCCTAATATTATTTGGGATTGCGTCACATTTTTCTGGAATTTTGAAAAGACAAATTTTGGTTAGCATACTAACGTCAATTTATCGTCATACGAGACGCGACCAATCACAGGTGAGTTTTCTATTAGTGTTGGACGTCGAATGTTGTTTTACCAACATTTCGTTTAATCGCTGAAATAATTTGACATAAAGTTGTTAAATCTGATAGTCCAAACTTATTTTGCGAATAAGTCAAATTACACATTTAAAATCAGTTATTCTTAACAATGTTCAAGATAGCGACACAGTTTTTTGGAAATCTGAAAAGACAAATTTTGGTTAGCATACTAACGTTAATTTGTCGTCATACGACAAGCGACCAATCAGAAGTGAGTTTCCTATTGGTGCTAGACGTCGAATAATATTTTATCAACATTTCGATTAAATCTCTTAAATAATCCGACATAAAACTGTAGAATCTGATGGTCCAAGGTTATTTTGTGCACAAGTACGTCATGTTACACATTTAAAGTGAGATATTCCTAATATTATTCGGGATTGCGTCACATTTTTCTGGAATTATGAAAAGACAAATTTTGGTTAGCATACTAACGTCAACTTAACGTCATACGAGAAGTGACCAATCACAGGTGAGTTTTCTATTAGTGTTGGACGTCGAATGGTGTTTTAGCAACATTTCGTTTAATCGCTGAAATAATTTGACATAAAGTTGTTAAATCTGATGGTCAAAACTTACTTTGTGAATAAGTAAGTCAAATTACATACTTAAAATGAGATATTGTCAACAATATTCAAAATGGCGACACAGTTTTTTGGAAATCTGAAAAGACAAATTTTGGTTAGCATACTAATGTTAATTTGTCGTCATACGACAAGCGATCAATCAGAAGTGAGTTTTCTATTAGTGCTGGACGTCGAATAATATTTTATCAACATTTCGATTAAATCTCTTAAATAATCCGACATAAAACTGTAGAATCTGATGGTCCAAGGTTATTTTGTGCACAAGTACGTCATGTTACACATTTAAAGTGAGATATTCCTAATATTATTCGGGATTGCGTCACATTTTTCTGGAATTATGAAAAGACAAATTTTGGTTAGCATATTAACGTCAACTTAACGTCATACGAGAAGTGACCAATCACAGGTGAGTTTTCTATTAGTGTTGGACGTCGAATGGTGTTTTAGCAACATTTCGTTTAATCGCTGAAATAATTTGACATAAAGTTGTTAAATCTGATGGTCAAAACTTACTTTGTGAATAAGTAAGTCAAATTACATACTTAAAATGAGATATTGTCAACAATATTAAAATGGCGACACAGTTTTTTGGAAATCTGAATAAGACAAATTTTGGTTAGCATACTAATGTTAATTTGTCGTCATACGACAAGCGATCAATCAGAAGTGAGTTTTCTATTAGTGCTGGACGTCGAATAATATTTTATCAACATTTCGATTAAATCTCTTAAATAATCCGACATAAAACTGTAGAATCTGATGGTCCAAGGTTATTTTGTGCACAAGTACGTCATGTTACACATTTAAAGTGAGATATTCCTAATATTATTCGGGATTGCGTCACATTTTTCTGGAATTATGAAAAGACAAATTTTGGTTAGCATATTAACGTCAACTTAACGTCATACGAGAAGTGACCAATCACAGGTGAGTTTTCTATTAGTGTTGGACGTCCAATGGTGTTTTAGCAACATTTCGTTTAATCTCTAAAATAATTTGACATAAAGTTGTTAAATCTGATGGTCCAAACTTATTTTGCTATTAGTCAAATTACACATTTAAAATCAGTTATTCTCAACAATATTCAAGATAGCGACACAGTTTTTTGGAAATCTGAAAAGACAAATTTTGGTTAGCATACTAACGTTAATTTGTCGTCATACGACAAGCGACCAATCAGAAGTGAGTTTTCTATTAGTGCTAGACGTCGAATATTATTTTATCAACATTTCGATTAAATCTCTTAAATAATCCGACATAAAACTGTAGAATCTGATGGTCCAAGGTTATTTTGTGCACAAGTACGTCATGTTACACATTTAAAGTGAGATATTCCTAATATTATTCGGGATTGCGTCACATTTTTCTGGAATTATGAAAAGACAAATTTTGGTTAGCATACTAACGTCAACTTAACGTCATACGAGAAGTGACCAATCACAGGTGAGTTTTCTATTAGTGTTGGACGTCGAATGGTGTTATAGCAACATTTCGTTTAATCGCTGAAATAATTTGACATAAAGTTGTTAAATCTGATGGTCAAAACTTACTTTGTGAATAAGTAAGTCAAATTACATACTTAAAATGAGATATTGTCAACAATATTCAAAATGGCGACACAGTTTTTTGGAAATCTGAAAAGACAAATTTTGGTTAGCATACTAATGTTAATTTGTCGTCATACGACAAGCGATCAATCAGAAGTGAGTTTTCTATTAGTGCTGGACGTCGAATAATATTTTATCAACATTTCGATTAAATCTCTTAAATAATCCGACATAAAACTGTAGAATCTGATGGTCCAAGGTTATTTTGTGCACAAGTACGTCATGTTACACATTTAAAGTGAGATATTCCTAATATTATTTGGGATTGCGTCACATTTTTCTGGAATTTTGAAAAGACAAATTTTGGTTAGCATACTAACGTCAATTTATCGTCATACGAGACGCGACCAATCACAGGTGAGTTTTCTATTAGTGTTGGACGTCGAATGTTGTTTTACCAACATTTCGTTTAATCGCTGAAATAATTTGACATAAAGTTGTTAAATCTGATAGTCCAAACTTATTTTGCGAATAAGTCAAATTACACATTTAAAATCAGTTATTCTTAACAATGTTCAAGATAGCGACACAGTTTTTTGGAAATCTGAAAAGACAAATTTTGGTTAGCATACTAACGTTAATTTGTCGTCATACGACAAGCGACCAATCAGAAGTGAGTTTCCTATTGGTGCTAGACGTCGAATAATATTTTATCAACATTTCGATTAAATCTCTTAAATAATCCGACATAAAACTGTAGAATCTGATGGTCCAAGGTTATTTTGTGCACAAGTACGTCATGTTACACATTTAAAGTGAGATATTCCTAATATTATTCGGGATTGCGTCACATTTTTCTGGAATTATGAAAAGACAAATTTTGGTTAGCATACTAACGTCAACTTAACGTCATACGAGAAGTGACCAATCACAGGTGAGTTTTCTATTAGTGTTGGACGTCGAATAGTGTTTTACCCACATTTCGATTAATCACTGAAATAATTTGTCAGAAAGTTGTTAAATCTGATGGTCTAAACTTATTTTGTGAATAAGTAAGTCAAATTACACATTTAAAATGAGTTATTCTCAACACTATTGAAGATAGCGACACAGTTTTTTGGAAATCTGAAAAGACAAATTTTGGTTAGCATACTAACGTTAATTTGTCGTCATACGACAACCGACCAATCAGAAGTGAGTTTTCTATTAGTGCTGGACGTCGAATATTATTTTATCAACATTTCGATTAAATCTCTTAAATAATCCGACATAAAACTGTAGAATCTAATGGTCCCAGGTTATTTTGTGCACAAGTACGTCATGTTACACATTTAAAGTGAGATATTCCTAATATTATTCGGGATTGCGTCACATTTTTTTTGGAATTTTGAAAAGACAAATTTTGGTTAGCATACTAACGTCAACTTAACGTCATACGAGAAGTGACCAATCACAGGGGAGTTTTCTATTAGTGTTGGACGTCGAATAGTGTTTTAGCAACATTTCGGTTAATCGGTGAAATAATTTGACATGAAGTTGTTAAATTTGATGCTCCAAAATTATTTTGTGAATAAGTAAGTCAAATTACACACTTAAAATGAGATATTCTCAACAATATTCAAAATGGCCCCGCAGTAATCTGACAGAAAACTGTAAAATCTGGTAGTCCGACTTACTTCGTCAAAAAAATACGTCTTATTACACACTTAAAGTGAAATATTGTCAATAATTCTACAGATGGCGTCCCAGTTTTTTGGAATTTTGAAAAGACAGATTTTGGTTAGCAAACTAACGTCAACTTGTCATAAGACGAGCAACCAATCAGAGGTGAGTTTTATATTAGTGTTGGACGTCGAATAGTGTTTTACCAACATTTCGATTAAATCTCTAGGATAATCCAACAAAAACTATAAAATATGATGGTCCGAATTTATTTACTGAAAAAATACGTCTTTTATTTAGTGAAAAATACGTCATGTTACACATTTAAAATGATATATTGGCAAAAATATTACAAATGGCGTCACAGTTTTTAGGAATTTTGAAGACAAATTTTGGTTATCAAACTAATGTCAACTTGTCATACGACGAGCGACCAATCAGAGGGGAATCTTCTATGATTGTTAGACGTCGAATAGTGATTTATGTATTGAAAAAATACGTCGTGTTACACATTTAAAGTGAGATGTTGTCAATAATTCTACAGATGGCGCCCCAATTTTTTGGAATTTTGAAAAGACAGATTTTGGTTAGCAAACTAACGTCAACTTGTCATAAGACGAGCAACCAATCAGAGGTGAGTTTTATATTAGTGTTGGATGTCGAATAGTGTTTTACCAACATTTCGATTAAATCTCTAGGATAATTTAACATAAAAACTGTAAAATATGATGGTCCGAATTTATTTACGGAAAAAATACGTCTTTTATTTAGTGAAAAATACGTCATGTTACACATTTAAAGTGATATATTGTCAAAAACATTACAAATGGCGTCACAGTTTTTGGGAATTTTTAAAAGACAAATTTTGGTTAGCAAACTAATGTCAACTTGTCATACGACGAGCGACCAATCAGAGGGGAATCTTCTATGATTGTTAGACGTCGAATAGTGATTTATGTATTGAAAAAATACGTCGTGTTACACATTTAAAGTGAGATATTGTCAATAATTCTACAGATGGCGTCCCAGTTTTTTGGAATTTTGAAAAGACAGATTTTGGGTAGCAAACTGACGTCAACTTTTCATAAGACGAGCAACCAATCAGCGGTGAGTTGTATATTAGTGTTGGACGTCGAATAGTGTTTTACCAACATTTCGATTAAATCTCTAGGATAATTAAACATAAAAACTGTAAAATATGATGGTCCGAATTTATTTAGTGAAAAAATACGTCTTTTATTTAGTGAAAAATACGTCATGTTACACATTTAAAATGATATATTGTCAAAAATATTACAATTGCCGGAGAAATTTTGGTTACCAAACAAATGTCAACCTGTTAGACGACAAGCGACCAAACAAAGGGGAGTTTTCTGTGAATGTTAGACGTCGAATAGTGATTTATTTAGTGAAAAAATTCGTGATATTACACATTTAAAGTGAGGTATTATCAATAATATTATAAACGGCGCCACAGTGTTTTGGAATTTTGAAAAGACAAATTTTGGTTAGCATACTAACGTCAACTTAACGTCATACGGGAAGCGACCAATCACAGGTGAGTTTTCTATTAGTGGTGGACGTCGCAGTTTTAGCCTTGTTCTTGATGAAAAAAAATAAATAAATAAATAAACAAACGAAAATATTCACCACTGTTCGTGTACGAATCTAGAATATTATACACAAATAAAACGTCGTCTTTGCAAATTAAACAAAGGTTATTCGGTTTAATTACACTTTTAAATTTTATTATTCACAAAGAAATAACTTTGATTAAATTATATTAATTTTACCACGCGTTTCTTTTTTATTGCTTTAATCTAAAATCATCGGGATTACTATTATAAGCAAAACCTTAAAGAATTATAATGTACTTTTAATGTTTTCGCATTTAATTTAAGCTGATTGAAGTAATAAACCTTAAAATTATTTTTAAGCCGCCATAAATTTGAATTACAGAACCCACTATTGGCGTAAATCCATGAACAATAAGCCTACCTACTTCCAAATCCATTATCAACCAAAATTTGTATTTGCGGTTAGCGATAAAATTGACTGCGGTTTCGAGAAAATTAATATTAAAAGAAAACTTTGAATATTCTTGATTTTTTTCTTTTTCTTGCCAGTAAAAAATTCCACACAATAAACCATTAACATATTCTGAATGTGGTAATCATTGTATTGTGTTCTAAATCACCTAATTCCACAGTTTTAGATCAATAACGCTCCTAGTAAGTATTCACATCAGCACTCATGTCTTACTGACTGAATACATTATTTACAATTTAATATAGTATTATACGACCGTCGCCAGCAAAAATGTCATCACATTTGAGCATTTTTTCAAGTACAGACGGTTAATTATGTTTAATAAAATTTTAATTGAATTTAAAAGCGGAATTCCACGGTATGCGGCTGCCATAAAGAACGTGCCTAGAGAATAATGCTCGATGATATAAGCTCTTGTGTGGCATTGTTCAGCTTAATTCGATGTCCACAGTCAAACTGAGACTTAAAAGACGAGTTGATCGTACTCACAGTACAATATAAAGATAAAAAAAAATGAAATGTATTTTTGTTAATAAAAATTTTATCAATAAAGATTATACCAAAAATACCTGGCTTTAATAAAAAAAACATATAACTGATAACAAATAGTTATTACGAGAATAAACCAACCGTTTTCGAAATTTTATTCCAAAATATTAGTTCAATTTTGTACGCACACCAACGAAAAAACACAAGGCATTGAACTAAAATAACACTTGCAAGGTTCACTGACGATTCTTTAGTGTGCCAAGGTGAAATCGCATTTGCATAAGTGCGTTAAAATAAATGTCACGTATAACAAAACTGTGTAAACTGACCACAATTGAAAATTTTTCACAAATACGTCACGGATGACGCAGTGGGGATAACCAATGACGAGCGGTTATTCGCGCACGTGTCACAACACACGTTCATCATTGGCCAACCCATTTGTCCACGACGTCACTTCTTCGTTATTTGTTCTTATCCATGACTTTCAAGCCCCGATTATTTGGTATTTGATAAAATGTTCAGTGTTTTTGTAATATTTAATGGCTGAAAAACAATAGAACTTATGTGTAATAAGTGACTTAGCGAAATTGTGTTTGTCCCATGAGTGAAAGCACGAAATACGTCACAACAAACACATGAACATAATCACACTTAACCCAACCACCTCTCAATTGTCCTTTTTTGGTGATAATAAAGCTGGCTTTGCGAACAAAAGCGGCAATTTGGTCGTTTCATATACCAATGACACTTTCTAAATACTAGGTGGATAATGAAAGAAAACTTACTTTTATTTGTTAGTTGGTTCGTTGTTAGATTCCACTTAAACAGCCGTCTGTGAAAACATTAATAAAATGTTATGTAGAAAACACATCATGCAAAAATTGCAAAAAATAAATTAATCAAACATGCTAGACAAAATTTCAAGATTTCACATCAATAATACGTGAATTAGAAAAGTGTTTTCTTATCAGGCTTCTGATAATAGGTGATTAATTTAGTGTGAACGTATTTACACATGTATATTGACAGATAAGATTTCCATGTAAGGTAAAAACCCAATCTGCCCTCGTACTATTCTTTGAAACGTTTCTAGTAACAGTATTCTGACCTCAAATTATAATTTGACAATGTGAAATCACTGCGAACTGCAATTTTACTGAATCAAGTGTATTGTTCACTGAATACCAAACAAACATCGGCAAAGCGATAAACAAAGCTCACAAGCTAAAAACATCATCAAAAAACCTAAAAAAAGACTAAATAAATAAGACACCTAAATAAACACAACAATTGACACATAAAACTCACCTATTTTTGACAACCACACAACTATATGTCTCCGTTTAAAAAAAAACCACTCCGTCTCTCCGCACAATAAAATCTCGAAAATTTTACAAACTATTTACGGGGTCACTGCAAATTTGTTAACGTAAATTAATTTGTTTTCGTACCCTAAATGATGACACTACACTTTATCATTTTCACTGTAGAAATTCAACATGGCGGCGTATTTTCTTCAGTGGGATATTAATAACACGCGCACCTCCTGCCTCTTCCAGACGAGTTACAGCGAAAATACTTATCACAGGACTTTTTGAAACAAAAATACCCCTGAAACGGTGGCACAACTTCGATAAGGTCTTAATTTTTCCACAAAAATGACATATCACGAGGCCCTGAACCAATGAGGTTAAACCAGTTAGGCGGCGTTGCTACATCGCTGTTTTTCGACGAAAATCGTTCCGTGTAATTTATGGCGGCGATAATTTGTGCGTCATTGTAATTCTAGAACCAGACGCTATTCTAATTATGTAATTATCGTCTCGGTTCTCTATTAAATCAACATTAAACAAGCGCTGACGCCAGTGTGTGTACACGGAGATGCGGCAACAGCGCCGTTCCCGCCAAACGTCATATTATGAATAGATAACCTCAAAAGCGCGAATTCCGCAAAATGAAACCAGAAATTGAGACTAATTTGGAAATTAATACGAAAATGCACGTGAATAAATTGTTCACTTTGGTGTTTCTGAAGAAGAATAAGTCGGTGTTGTTGGGGCTGAAAACGCGGGGACTTGGAAAAGGGTTTTGGAACGGTTTCGGTGGAAAAGTGGAGAAGAACGAAACCGTAATGGACTGCGCGAAAAGAGAATTGAAAGAAGAGTGTAATTTGGAAGCTAAAGACTTGAAGCAAATCGGCGTTGTCAGATATGACTTACTCTACGACAACTCGTCAGATGTGGTTCATATTTTTACATGCACACAGTTTGAAGGGGTGGAGAAACCCAGTGAGGAAATGAACCCAATTCAATGGTACAAGTTTAGGGCGATCCCTTTCACCCAAATGTGGCCAGACTCACCACACTGGTATCCATACATGTTGGATGAAAAATATTTCTCTGCTAGAATAACCTACAGTGATGAAAACACAATCAAGGGAAGTAGTATTCAAGTCTACAACAATCTCTCTAACGTGCTTAAAATCGCCGAATAACATCGTTCCAAAATTTTCCAACAGTATTATTTTTTTATAAGTACAAACACTCATTTTTTATAAAAATGTATTTAATAAAAAACAAAATTACTTCAGTTGGGTTTCATGTACAAGCGCTCTTGCTAAATTCCGCGTCGCCGCTAGCCTTAACAGAGCAATTTTATCCTTAAGTTCCTTCAAGTGTTCCTTCTCCTCTACACACTGCATGATAATAAAAGTATCAGTGGATGAAAAAACCATATCTTCACACTCCAGCAGTGGAATGGTTTCAGTTAGAAGAATATTCCAGAAGCTGAAACCAAACAATTCAAAAATGTGCACACCAAAAATCCACCAACCTACAAGTTTGGTATAATTTTTGACTCCAACAACGAAATTAACAAATTCGCAGCCTCCTTATACTCCTTGGCTTGATACAACTTGTGAAACTCGTAATACTTCCCTAAGAAAATTAACCTATCACTAGCCAAAATGCACGACCCTAGATTATCCAGCAAGTCAATGCTGTTCAATTTTCCGCTTTCAGCGTACTGTTTCAAGAATTTGTCTGAAAGGTATGACACGAAAGCGCTATCTTGGGACTTCAAACCCCAGGCTAGAGCGTGTCCTAGGCGGCCTCTTTTCTGGCACTTCATGGCCTGGACTTTGCAGATGCTTTGTGCTGAAAACCACACTCAATTTTTGTTTTTAATTTTTTAAATTAAATTACCTGTTTCTGACAAGTTTCTGTTAATAGCTTCTTTGACGATTTTCTGGGTTCGCATTTCTGAGTCTAGAGAGAGTCGTGGTAGTAGTAGTTTTATGGCTTCCACGCCATCTGTGGGGCAGTGATCGAGGTAGCTGAGGCCTACTTGCCATAGGGATTTGCTTCCCATTAGGAGGGATCCGTAGTCGATTAGGAAAGATTCGCGTAGTCTGTCTGGTTGGCTGGAATTATTTTTCGTTGAAAAATTTTTTTTGTGATTAGGTAATAATACTTACAAATTTTCTGTTTCAGCGTTGAGGTCGTTTAGGCGGCCTGAGTGGTAAAGGAGGTCTGTTAAGTGGCTCACGAACCAGCCATTTTCGGTCATGTGTTGGATTTCTTTAATGACCTGCCAATAAAAATACAGTTAGAAAAAATATTCGACAAATTCACTACGGACGCCTAGTTTTAAAGATAATGAAGTTTACTATACTGGATCTAAGTCCTGCCAGGAAAGCGTGAAGTTTATTAGAAATTTTGATGACGTCATTATCTTTTTAGTAGGGGTAAATAAATCACTTTGGATAAATACAGTGTAATGCTAGTACAAACATTAGTGTTTTCCCAGAATTGCTGGAAAATTAAATAAGACAGTTTTGATTTATAATCAATAAAATTTATTACTTCCTAATTTTTGAAGATATAAACAATCAAACATTGTATAAACAATGCTAAGAATAAAAGAATTAAATTGTAAAATTTTGATTTTTTTTGTCAACAGACAGAACTTCTTTCGCTTCTGAAGTAACAATCAAACAAGTCCAATTTTATAGAAAAAACAAAAAAAAAATACCAGTAACAGTAACAGTGTAAGAAATTTGACAGTCTGGTAGTTTTGGAAAAAGAATAGACACAGACGACAGACAGACAACACGAAAAATCGGAAAATTGAAAAGTCGAGGAAAAATTGCAACATCGAGGAACCGAAAAGTCGAAAACTCAAAAAAATCGAAAAATCGAAAAATAAAAAAATTTTTAAATTGAAAAATTGAAACCGAAACATCAAAAAATTGAAAAATGTCGAAAATTGGGGAATCGAAAAACTGAAAAACCGAAAAATTGAGAAATCGAAAACTCGAAATGCCGAAAAATCGAAACATGAAGAGAACGGGAAATCGAAATTGCCCAAATATTGAAAAATTAAAAATTGAAAAATCGGGAAATTGACCAATCGATAATAATCGAAACGTCGAAATCTCGATAAATTGCCAAACCGAAAAATCTAAAACTGAGATGTCGAAAATTCAAAATAACGAGAAAACGAAACATCAAAAAATTGAAAAATCTAAAATTTTAAAATTCGGAAAACTGAAAAATAGAAAAATCGAGAAATATATAGCAGTATTAAAACATACAAAAATTGAAGAATCGAAAAGCCGGTAAATCGAACCATCGAGAAATCGAAACACGAAAAGATCGGTAAATCGAAAAATCGGAAAGTTCGAGAAGTCAAAAAAATAGAAACATCGAAATTGTCCAAAATCGAAACATCGATATCTCGATAAATCGAGCGATCGAAAATTAAAAAATCGAAAAATCAAAAATTTTCAAAATGGAAAAATTCAAAAACGGAAATTTCGAAAATTCAAAAGATCGAGAAAACGAAACATCAAACAATTAAAAAATCTGAAATTTTAAAATTCGGAAAATTGAAAATATGTACATTAGGGTGATTCAAAAAAAAAAAAAATAATTTTTTTTTTCGTGCAAAGAGGTTCAAAAGTTTCTTTTCAACGTAAAAAAATACCAGTTAAAATTTGAGCTCTTAATATTAATATTAAGACCGTCCGCATCGCGTTTTTCTATTTCCCATAAGAATAACATGGGAAAATTTTTGTTTGCACCTTCTGATTTTTATTGCTAGCCCGTCGTGTGTCGTGAAAAAAATTCAATCACATATTTTTATAGAGAATTGAACGCTCTACAAAAAGTGTCTCCTATGATTGTGCGAGAAACCTGATAGTTGAAGAGTTATTTTAGGCTAAAGTTAAATTTATCCAAATTTTGACGTTTTTGATGCATTACAATAAATTTGATGGTCTTATTGGAATAAATCACCACAAAAATTTATACACATTTTAAATTTAGTTTTTTAAACAGTAATTGTTTATAATTTTATGCTATAATAAGGCCAGTAAAACTCTTTCCGAACATTTTCAGCATCAGTGGGTTAAAAAATCATAGTCAGGTTTCTCGCAAAATCATAGGAGACACTTTTTGTAGAGCGTTCAATTCTCTATAAAAATATGTGATTGAATTTTTTTCACGACACACGACGGGCTAGCAATAAAAATCAGAAGGTGCAAACAAAAATTTTCCCATGTTATTCTTATGGGAAATAGAAAAACGCGATGCGGACGGTCTTAATATTAATATTAAGAGCTCAACTTTTAACTGGTATTTTTTTACGTTGAAAAGAAACTTTTGAACCTCTTTGACACGAAAAAAAAAATTATTTTTTTTTTTTGAATCACCCTAATGTACATAGAACCGAGGAAGTGAAAAATTGAAAAATCGAAACATGAAATATCGGAAAATTGAGAAATCGAAAAGTCGAGAAGTCAAAAAAATGAGAAATCCAAATTGCCCAAAAATTTAAAATTAAAAAAAATGGAAAAATCCAGCAATCGAAAAAAAAACTGAAAAATCAAAAAATCAAAAATTTTAAAAATCGAAAAATCTAAAACCGAGATATCGAAAATTAAAGAAAAAGCGAGAAAATAAACCATTAAAAAAATGAAAAATTGAAAAATCGGGAAATTGACCAATCGATAATAATCGAAACGTCGAAATCTCGATAAATTGCCAAACCGAAAAATTGAATAAAACTGAAAAATCTAAACCCGATATGCCGAAAATTCAAAAGAACGGGAAAACGAAACATCAAAAAATTGGAAAATACAAAATTTGAAAAATTCGGAAAATTGAAAATATGTACACAGAAAAGCCGAGGAAATGAAAAATTGAAAAATCGAAACATGAAGATATCGGGAAATTGAGAAATCGAAAAGTCGACAATTCAAAAAAATCAAGAAATCCAAATTGCCCAAAAATCTAAAATTAAAAAAAAAACGATAAATCCATCAATCGAAAGAAAAACTAAAAAATCAAAAAATAAAAAATTTTAAAAATCGAAAAATTGAAAAACCGAAAAATCTCAAGCCGAGATATCGAAAATTAAATACAAAGTGAGAAAATGAACCACTAAAAAAATTAAAAATTGAGAACTTTAAAATTCGGAAAATTAAAAATTATAAAATCGGGAAATTGACCAATCGATTAAAATCGAAACGTCGAAATCTCGATAAATTGCCAAACCAAAAATTTAATAAAACTGAAAAATCTAAACCCGATATGTCGAAAATTCAAAAGAACGAGAAAATGAAACATCAAAAAATTGGAAAATACAAAATTTGAAAAATTCGGAAAATTGAAAATATGTACACAGAATAGCCGAGGAAGTAAAAAATGGAAAAATCGAAACATGAAAATATCGGGAAATTGAGAAATCGAAAAGTCGAGATGTCAAAAAAATCGAGAAATCCAAAATGCCCACAAATCTAGAATTTAAAAAAATCGATAAATCCAGCAATCGAAAGAAAAACTGAAAAATCAAAAAATGACAAATTTTAAAAATCGAAAAATTTAAAATCCGAAAAATCCAAAACCGAGATATCGAAAATTAAAGAAGAAACGAAAAAATGAAACATTAAAAAACTGAAAAATTGAAAACTTTAAAATTCGGAAAATTGAAAAGCGAAAAATCTAGGAAATGAAAAATGGAAACCGAAAAATTGAGAAATCGAAAGTAGAGAAGTCAAAAAAAAAACGGGAGAAATTGCCCAAAAATCGAAAAATTAAAAACTGAAAAATCGGGAAACTGACCAATTGATAATAACCTAAATGTCGAAATCGCGATAAATTACCAAACCGAAAATTCAAAATTTTTTTAAATCGAAAAATTGAATAAAACCAAAAAATCTAAAACCGAGATGTCGGAAATTCAAAAGAACGAGAAAACGAAATGTCAAAAAATTAAAAAATACAAAACTTTGAAAATTGAAAAATCGAAGAAGTTAAAAATTGAAAAATCGAAAAACCGGGAAATCGAACCAACGAGAAATCGAACCATGAAAAGATCGGTAAATCGAAAAATCGGAAAGTCGAGAAGTCAAAAAAATCGAAACATCGAAATTGTCCAAAATCGAAATCTCGATAAATCGAGCGATGGAAAAACTAAAAAATCGAAAAGTCAAAAATTTTAAAAATGAAAAAATTGAAAAATCGAAATTTCGAAAATTCGGAAGATCGAGAAAACGAAACATCAAACAATTAAAAAATCTGAAATTTTAAAATTCGGAAAATTGAAAATATGTACATAGAACCGAGGAAGTGAAAGATTGAAAAATCGAAATATGAAATATCAGGAAATTGAGAAATCGAAAAGTCGAGAAGTCAAAAAAATCGAGAAATCCAAATTGCCCAAAAGTTTAAAATTAAAAAAAAATGGAAAAATCCAGCAATCGAAAAAAAACTGAAAAATCAAAAAATCAAAAATTTTAAAAATCGAAAAATTGAAAACCCGAAGAATCTAAAACCGAGATATCGGAAATTCAAAAAACAAAACGAGAAAATGAACCATTAAAAAACTGAAAAATTGAAAACTTTAAAATCCGGAAAATTGAAAACATGTACATAGAAAAGACGAGGAAGTGAAAAATTGAAAAATCGAAACATGAAAATATCGGGAAATCGAGAAATCGAAAAGTCGAGAAATAAAAAAAATCGGGAAATCTAAATTGCCCAAAAATCTGAAATTAAAAAAAATCGATAAATCCAGCAATCGAAAGAAAAACTGAAAAAAAAATCAAAAATTTTAAAAATCGAAAAATTGAAAAAACCGAAAAATCTAAAACCGAAATATCGAAAATTAAAGAAAAAACGATAAAATGAACCATTAAAAAACTGAAAAATTGAAAACTTCAAAATTCGGAAAATTGAAAAATCGAAAAATCGAGGAAATGAAAAATTGAAACCGAAACATCAAAAAATTGAAAAATGTCTAAAATTGGGAAATAGAAAAACTGAAAAACCGAAAACTTGAGAAATCGAAAACTCGAAATGCCGAGAAATCGAAACATGAAGACAACGGGAAATCGAAAGTCGAGAAGTCAAAAAAAAAACGGGAAGTCGAAATTGCCCAAAAATCGGAAAATTGAAAATTGAAAAATCGAGAAATTGACCAATCGATAAGAATCGAAACGTCGAAATCTCGATAAATTGCTAAACCAAAAAATTGAAACACCGAAAACTCAAAAATATTTTAAATCGAAAAATTGAATAAAACCGAAAAATCTAAAACCGAGATGTCGAAAATTCAAAAGAACGAGAAAACGAAACATCAAAAAATTGGAAAATACAGAATTTTGAAATTTGGAAAATTGAAAAATCGAGGAAGTGAAAAATTGAAAAATCGAAGCATGAAAAACTAGGAAATCGAGAAATCGAAAAGTCGTGAAGTCAAAAAACTGTACAAATCCAAACTGCCCATTATCGAAAAATTAAAAATTGAAAAATCGGCGAAATGAACAATCGATAATCGAATTGAGAAATCGAAAAATAGAAAAATCGAAAAATTTAAAATTCGACAACTCAAAAATCGTAAGATCGAGAAGACGAAGCATCAAAAAATTGAAAAATCTAAACTTAAAATTCGGAAAACTGAAAAATAGAAAAATCGAGAAATATGTAGCAGTATTAAAACATAAAAAAATTGAAGAATCGAAAAGCCGGGAAATCCAACCATCGAGAAATCGAAACATGAAATGATCGGTAAATCGAAAATCGGAAAGTCAAGATGTCAAAAAAATCGAAACATCGAAATTGTCCAAAATCGAAAATCGAAATCTCGATCAATCGAGCGATCGAAAAATTAAAAAATCGAAAAATCAAAAATTTTAAAAATGGAAAAATTGAAAAACCGAAATTTCGAACATTCGAAGGATCGAGAAAACGAAACATCAAAAAATTGAAAAATGTGAATTTTAAAATTCGGAAAATTGAAAATATGTACATAGAAAAGCCGAGGAAGTGAAAAATTGAAAAATCGAAATATGAAAATATAGGGAAATTGAGAAATCGAACAGTCGAGAAGCCAAAAAAATCGAGAAATCCAAATTGCCCAAAAATCAAAAATTTAAAAAAATCGATAAATCAGCAATCGAAAGAAAGACTGAAAAATCAAAAAATCAAAAATTTTAAAAATCGAAAAATTGAAAAACAGAAGAATTTAAAACCGAGATATTGAAAATTAATGAAAATTAAAGAAAAAGCGAGAAAATGAAACATTAAAAAACTGAATAACTGAAAACTTTAAAACTCAGAAAATTGAAAAATCGAGGGAATGAAAAATTGAAAAACTAAAAAGCCGAGAAATCGAAACACCGAAAAATTGGAAAAGTGAAACATTGCAAAATCGAGACATGAAAATATCGGGACATCAGGAAATCAAAAGTTGAGAAGACAAAAAAAATCGAGCAATCGAAGAATTTCGAAATAGAAAAATCAAAAGTTTTAAAAATCGAAGAATTGAATAAAGCCGAAAAAGCTAAAATCGAGATGTCGAAAATTCGAAAAATCAAGAAAACGAAACATAAAAAAAGTGAAAAACCTAAAATTTAAAAATTTGGAAAATTGAAAACAGAAAAATCGAGGAAGTGAAAAAATTAAAAATCTAAAATCTGAGACACCAAAGCATGAAAAGATTGGGAAATTGAGGACTCGAAAAGTCGAGAAGTCAAAAAAATGGCGAAATCAAAATTGCCCAAATTCGAAAAATTGAAAAATCGAGACATCGAAAAATTGAAAAATCGAAAAACTGAGAAATTGAACAATTTAAAACCCGAAAAATTAAAAAATCGGAAAGTCAAACATTTTAAAAATCGAAAAATTGAAAAACCGAAAAATCGAGAAAACGAAACATCACAAAATTCAAAAGTTTTAAATTTAAAATTCGGAAAGTTGTAAAATAGGACAATCGAAGAAGTAAAAAATTGATATGTCGAAAATTGGGAAATCTAAAAACTGAAAAACCGAAACATCGAAAAATTGTAAAATCGAAAACTCGAAAAACCGAGAAATCGAAACATATAAAAGTAAAAAAAAAATCGAGAAATCCAAATTGCCCAAAAATCGAAAATTTAAAAAATCGGGAAATTAAACAATCGATAATAATTGAAACATCGGAATTTCGATAAATCGAGCAATCGGAAGAAAAGCTGAAAAACCAAAAAATAAAAAAATTTAGAAATCGAAAAACTGAAATACCAAAAAATCTAAAACCGAGATGTCGAAAATTCAAAAAAACGAGAAAACGAAACATCAAAAAATTAGAAAACCGAGAAGTCGAAAGATCTAGGAAACGAAACATCAAAAAATTGAAAAATTCAAAATTTAAAAATTCGGAAAGTTGAAAAACAGAACAATCGGAAGAAGTGAAAAATTGAAAAATCGAGATATTCAAAAATCCCAAAATGATATATCGAAAAATTGGGAAGTCGAAAAACTGAAAAACCGAAATTTCGAAAAATTGGAAAATGGAAAACTCGAAAAACCGAGAAATCGAAACGTTGAAATTTGAAAATCGAGAAGTCAAAAAAATTGAGATTTTTGAAAAATGGGGAAATTCAACAATCGATAATAATCGAAACATCGAAATCTGGATAAATGGAGCAATCGAAAAATTTGAAAATCGAAAAATTGAAAAACTGAAATACCTAAAACCAAGTGTCGAAAATTCGAATTTAAAATTCAGAAAATTGAAAAATCCAAAAGCCGAGAAGCCAAAGAAATCGAGAAATCGGAATTCCCAAAATCGAAAAAATAAAAATTGAAAAATTGAAAAATCGGTACTCGAAACGTCGAAATCTCGATAAATCAAAAAAATTGAATAAATCAAAAAATCTAAAACCGAGAAGTCAAAAAAATCGCAAGACCCAGAAGACAAAATGTTAAAAAATTGAAAAATTGTTATTTTAAAAAATTCGGAAAGTTAAAAAATTGAAAAATCGAAGTGAAAAATCGAAAAATCAAAAAATTGAAGAAGCGAAATATTGAAACATCCTAAAACTGAACATCAAAAATTGGAAAATCGAAAATTTAAAAAATCTAAAAATTGAAAAATGAAAAATATGAAAAATCGAGAAATCAAAATCGCACAAAATCGAACAATTAAAAATTAAAAAACTGAAAAATCGATTGGTCGGTGTTCGAATTTCGATTTTTCATTTTTTTTTTCAGTACCCACTAAAAATTTAAGTCAATTTTCAAAATTTAACCGAACTTTTTCTTATGGACTTCGGCCTTCAAAAGTTAGTTTCGCCCCATTTTCGATAGCTCCTTCCATTTTTTCAAAATATCACACTAAAATATTGCAATTTTTTGGATTAAAAAAAAAGATTATTAAACCTAAAATTTTTAATCTCATGCCGAGAGAATAAACGCGTTATGTTTTTGGAATCAACACCACGAATTCTATGACAGATGTTTTTGTTTTTTTTTTGGGGGAAATTTTCCAATATTGTCTCTAAAAATTTTGGCCAATTTTTGAAAAGGGATTCTGGAAATTCAGGAGAATTGCCTAGCTAAATACGTTTAAAAAATTTCAAGTCTTTTATACCATTTAGTATACAGGGTGATCCAAAATGACGAATAACCTCGATGGTACGTTGTTGATAAGCCACTGGAGAACTCGAAAAAAATGGTAAAAAAATCCTTGCAGCAAACTTTTGAAAATATTAATTTTGAAAGTTGAAGAATTAACTTTGTAATTCTGATCTGTTTGTCTAATGACCTGGATGTCTAATGCACAGTTAAATATTTAACTATCATTAATTTAACAATAATTTGCTTGATTGCGATCCACGACGTCATTTTTCACTGTTGTTGTCCTTCAATTTTGAATATTTTCAAAAATTTAGTTCAGGGATTTTTTAACAATTTTTTTGAGTTGTTCAGAGGCTCCTTAACAACGCACCATCGAGTTTTTACCATTTTTACACAAAATTGTTGGGAAACTGGAGTTCAGGTTTTTTGTTACGTTTAAGTAAAACGAAAACTCAAAAAAATTTTAATTTTCAAAAATTTGTGTTTTGTTGTATTGGATTTTTTTTACTTTCATATTTGTTCTTTATTTTAGTTTTTTTTTAATTCCGATTGATATTCTTCAAATTTGCATTCTTATTCAAATTCAAATCACAGACACTAGTATTTTTCGAAATTTGTTTTTTTCCAAACTTTTGAATCAGTTGGAATCCTGTTAGAGTAAAATAAGTGTTACAAAATTACTCACCATATACAGAGGACTATAAATTATCGTAGATCAAGTTGGCTTTGGAGTTTCGTGACATGTGCCGCCTCGTTGTCATTGAGGATTGACACTATTATAACCTAACTTTTTAAAGAATTTCTACTACTGTGTCACGTACCAGAAGCACACAATTTTTAAATGAGTAATAACATTCCCGGGTGATATTTTTTTACTGTCAGTTAATTTAAAATAAAACTCCAACCAAATATTTCAAGCCATGTAATTAAATAAATAAAATGATAAACAACAGCAACAGAAAAAACCGTTATTGTTAAAAGCTCCTAGACAGTGTTCTTAAAGTATACATCTTTCAACAACATTAAAAACAAGTACGTTGCACCTTACATATTACACCGACGTGCCGCGTCCGGTTTTGCTTTTCCCCGAACGCGGCGTAGCAACGGAGGTTTTGCTCGGACGAGGCGTCGAAACCGTCGCTTTGCTCGGCCGAGGCGTAGAAACCGACGCTTTATTCGACCGCGGCGTGGAACCCGACGCCTTTGCCGAACCCGAAGCTTTCGCACCCGAGAAATAAACGTGATCCATTGCTTCCTTCGCCGTCAGACGCTCCAGGTGATCGTACCGCAGCAACTTATCCAAAACGTCCAACGCCTCCGCAGTGGCCAAACTCTCAGTGGCTTTAGTCACCATCTTCTCCCACTTCTTCCGCGAATGCATCCCCAGCAGATCGTTGAATTTCGGATCCAGCTGTATGTCGTATTTGTTTATGTATTGGAAGAGTTCTTCCGTGCCCAAAATTTTGGCAATGCGCACTAGTTGGTCGTAGTTGTCGTACCCGTGGAAGAAGGGTTCTTTTCTGAAGATCATGGAGGCTAAAATGCACCCGAAGGACCACATGTCGAGCGAGTAGTCGTACATTTGGTAGCTGACGAGGAGTTCCGGGGACTTGAAGTACCTGGAGGCCACTCGGACGTTGTATTCTTGACCGGGGTGGTAGAACTCCGCCAGACCCCAGTCGATGAGTTTGAGTTTCCGGTTCTCGTGGTCGATCATGACGTTGTGGGGTTTGACGTCCCGGTGCATGATCCCCATGCTGTGGCAGTAATCCAGAGCCTTCAGTAGCTCGTTCAGGTAGTAGCGGATGTCGGGGTCTTTGAGGGTGAGATACAGCTGCTTGAACTCCGTGTTGTTGATGTGTTCGAAAATCAGAGCCGGGGTTTTGGTGATTTCGTCTCTGACTACCGCAATGAGGGTGATTATGTTGGTTCCGCCCCTCAAGTTCTCCAGGACCTTGATCTCCCGCTTGATTTTCTTCCGTTTCACGGGCTTCAGCACTTTGACGACGCACTTGTTGTTTGTCACGGTGACAGCCTGGAACACGTCGCTGTATTTCCCTCGACCGATTTTCATCACGATTTGGTACTCGTCCTGCTCGCTCCAGATCACGGCGTGGTTTTCGTAGTCCCAGTATTCTCTGGGTTTTTGCGAATTGACGTCGCTGTAAACTCGGGATGTGCTGGGTTTTGCCATTATTTCATTGTGATTAGAGCCGGGGATGGATGCTGGACGCACTGACCGGTTTCATGGCAGGGAGCACGAAAGGGTCGAAATTCGGTTGAAAGGACGTTTTGTTGTGTCACAGCGAACTAGATCGAGTTCAAGTGTCTAAATCAGAATGTGAGGTACCCCTCTAAAACGAAATCGCTGAGTGGCGACGTGGTGATTTTAGGACAGTTCGATATTACTTAGAGACACGACACTGACAAGAGGCGAAGAAATTATGGTTTTTTGAGTTCTGTGATTCACGGTTTTTATCAAGGCGGGTTATCGGGTTTTTGCGTAGGTTTGACGTGTCAGATTTCGGCGCGATAACTGAAGGAAAAGTTCTGGTTGGTTTCAGGTTCAAACGCAAGTTTTAAATGGTTTAGTTTTTGATGATTTGAAATCCTGAGCGTTAGCTAACTTGCCAGTTTCATGTTTTCTGGTCGTTTCATTGCCTCTAGAGTACGGAAAAAGTGGTCTCCCGTTTCCGTCCATCTGCCGCCGGTGGCAGATGTACGGAAAAAGTGGTCTCCCGTTTCCGTCCATCTGCCGCCGGTGGCGATTTTTATTAGTTAGTATTTATTAATTTTGTGTGTATATAGCACGCATAGCACACTTCTTTACATTTACTTCAATATTACAAACATATTTTTATTCTAACTAAAAAGGGTTATAATTTTTCGAAAAAGATGGATTTGTTGTACCGTACCTCAGGGGCGAGGGAAGTTCTGTCGAAATAACCTTCGACCAATTTTTTAATTTTTAGTGTTTCTCAATTTACGATTTCTCGATTTTTGGACTTTGGATTTTTCAGGTTTTTGATTTTTCAATTTTTTGATGTTTCGAGTTTGGGATTTTTCAGTATTTCGCTTCTTCAATTTTTTGATGTTTTCATTTTTCTATTTATCGATTTTTCACTTCCTCCATATTTCTATTTTTCAATTTTCCGAATTCTTTAAAATGTCAGATTTTTCAATTTTTTGACCTTTTGTCTTCCCGATCTTCCAATTTTTTTAGTTCTCGGGTTTAGATTTTTCGATTATTCATTTTTCGGTTTATCGAGATTTCGACGTTTTGTTAACCGATTTTTCAATTTTGCAATCTTTAATTGTTCGATTTTGTGCAATTTCGATTTCTTTGACTTCTCGACTTTTCGATTTCTCGATTTTCCGATCTTTTCATGTTTCGATTTCTCGGTGTTTCAATGTTCCGATGTTTCGAGTTCTCGACTTTTCGGTTTTTCAATTTTCGAAATTTTAAAATTTCAGATTTTTCTATTTTTTATGTTTCGTTTTCTCGTTTTTTCGAATTTTCTACATCTTTTTCTTTTCAATTTTTCGATTTTAAAATTTTTCAATTGCTCGGTTTATCGAGATTTCGATATTACGATTATCAATTGTTCAATTTCGATTTTCCGATCTTTTCATGTTTATCATTTTTCAGGTTTTTAATTTTTCAATTTTTCGATATTTTAAATTTTCGACTTTTCAATTTTTTGAGGTTTTGATTTTGGAATTTTTCAATATTTCGGTTCTTCAATTTTTCAACTTCTCGATTCTCGATTATTTTATTTTTCGATTCAATTTTTTGATGTTTTAATTTTTCTATTTCTATTTCTCGATTTTTCTAATTTTCAAGTTTCTGATTTTTTTTTAAATTTCAGATTTTTCAATTTTTTGACTTTTCGGTTTTAGATTTTTCGATTATTCATTTTTTGGTTTATCGAGATTTCGACGTTTCGATTACCGATTTTTCAATTTTCCAATCTTTAATTGTACGATTTTGTGCAATTTCGATTTCTCGACTTCTTTGACTTCTCAACTTTTCGATTTCTTGATTTTCCGATCTTTTCATGTTTCGATTTCTCGGTGTTTGAATTTTCCGATGTTTCGAGTTCTCGACTTTTCAATTTTTAAATTTTCGAAATTTTAAAATTTCAGATTTTTCAATTTTTTTATGCTTCGTTTTTTCGAATTTTCTACATATTTTTTCTTTTCAATTTTTCGATTTTCAAATTTTTCAATTGCTCGGTTTATCGAGATTTCGATATTACGATTATCAATTGTTCAATTTCCCCATTTTTCAATTTTTCAGATTTTAATTTTACGATTTTGTGCAATTTCGATTTCTCAATTTTCCGATCTTTTCATGTTTCGATTTCTCGATGTTTCGATTTTTCATGTTTTTCATTTTTCAGGTTTTTAATTTTTCAATTTTTCGATATTTTAAATTTTCGACTTTTCAATTTTTTGAGGTTTTAGCTTTGGAATTTTTCAATATTTCGGTTCTTCAATTTTTCGACTTCTCGATTCTCGATTTTTTTATTTTTCGATTCAATTTTTCGATGTTTTAATTTTTCTATCTCTATTTCCCGATTTTTCTAATTTTCAAGTTTCTGATTTTTTTGAAATTTCAGATTTCTCAATTTTCCAATCTTTAATTGTATGATTTTGTGCAATTTCGATTTCTCGATTTCTTTGACTTCTCAACTTTTCGATTTCTTAATTTTCCGATCTTTTCATGTTTCGATTTCTCGATGTTTGGTTTTTTCATGTTTTTCATTTGTCAGGTTTTTGATTTTTAAATTTTTCGATATTTTTAATTTTCGACTTTTCAATTTTTCAATTTTCTGATTTTTTTGAAATTTCAGATTTTTCAATTTTTTGACCTTTTGTCTTCCCGATCTTCCAATTTTTTTACTTCTCGGTTTTAGATTTTTCGATTATTCATTTTTCGGTTTATCGAGATTTCGACGTTTCGATTACCGATTTTTCAATTTTGTAATCTTTAATTGTTCGATTTTGTGCAATTTCGATTTCTCAATTTTTGGCTTCTTGATTTCGATTTCTTCATTTTCCGATCTTTTCATGTTTCGATTGATGCTATTGAAGAAATGGGGCGAAACTTTTGGAGGTCGAAATCCATAAAAAAATGTCTTTGGTTAAATTTTAAAAATTGACTTAAATTTTAATAGTGGGTACTGAATTTTTTTTTTTTTGAAAAATTTGTCAAAAAAAATCCAAAAAATTCTGGTATAGATTTCGTCGTGTTGATTCCAAAAACATTGCGAATTTATGCTCTCAGATTAAAAATTTTCGATTTGAATTTTTTTTTATGCTAAAAATTTAAATATTTTAGTGAGCGACTGTATAAAAATGGAAGGAACTATCGAAAAAATGAGGCCAAAACGAACTTCTGGAGGTGGAATTCCATAAAAAAATGTCTGGTTAAATTTTGAGAATTGTTGAAAATTTGCGGAAATTTTTTTAGAAAGGATATTGAAAAATTTGCAAAAAAAAAACCAAAAAATCTGTCATAGAACTCGTGGTGTTGATTCCAAAAACGTAGCGTGTTTATGCTCTCGCCGTGAGATTAAAAATTTTAGATTTGAAAATAATTATTTTTTTAAATCCAAAAATTGCAATATTTTAGTGTGATATTTTGGAAAAATGGAAGGAGCTATCGAAGAAATGAGGCGAAACTAAGTTTTGGAGGCCAAATCCATACGAAAATGTGAACATGTTTTTGGTTAAATTTTGAAAATTAACCCAAATTTTTATAGGGGATACTGAAAATTTTTGTTTTTGAAAAATTTGCCAAAAAAATTCCAAAAAATTCTGGTATTTTGTCGTGCTGATTCCAAAAACATGGCGTATTTATGGCTCAGGGTAAGAGTAAAAATTTTCGATTTGAAAATATATTTTCTTTAAAAATCCAAAAAAATGCGATATTAAGTGAAATTTTGAAAATTGTCGAAAATTGGCCGAAATTTTATAATATTTATTTTTTTTAATCCAGAAATTGCAATATTTTCGAAAATGTCAGAAGAACTGTTCATTTTAATACAGTCGTATATTTATTCCTTTAATAATAATATATTACAATGGCCAATTTCATGATTTCTAGACGTTCCATAACTACTAGAGCACGAAAAAATCGGACTCTTGATTTCGACTGTCTGTCGTGTGTTGTTTGTTGGCGATTTGATGTGAGAGATAATTTTAAGAAAACATTTAGCCTAAAAACTACAGAGCCGATTACTCTGATATTTTGCACACGCTTTAAGATTATAATGAAAATGGTAAATCGTTAATCAGAATTTACTTTTCATTCCGTCTAAAAATTTAAATTATTTAAAATGTGCAAAATAATATGGGTTCTATGCTTGAAATTTTCAAAATGGAAAAATCAAAAAATTGAAAATCACAAAACTGAAATATTGGAATACTGAAAAATCAAGGGAAAACTGAAGAATCGAAAAATCGGAAAGTCGAAAAATTTAAGAAATCGAAAAATTGAGAAACCTAAAAATCGAGAAGTCGAAAAAAATTTAAAAATCAAAATATCGAAAATTGAAAAATTTAAAATTAAAAAGTCAAAAAATGGAAAAATCGAAAAGCCCGAAATGAAAATCGAAAAATTGGAAAATGGAAAAATTTTGAAAATTGAAAAATCCAAGGAAAATTGAACAATCGAAAAAATGGAAAATTCAGTAACTGTTGAAACATGGGAAATCGAAAAATCGAGAAACCGAAAAGTCGAAAAATATACAATTTAAAAATTAGAAAAAAATGAAAAATCAAAAATTTAAAAATTCGAAAAATTGAAATTTCTAAAAAGTACTAAAAACTGAAAAATTGAGAAATGGAAAAATCTAAAATTAAAAAAATTAAAATATGGAAAAACTGATGAATCAAACCGTCAAAAAATCCAAAAATTGAAAAGCTCGATTATTGAAAAATGGAAGGAGCTATCGAAGAAATGAGGTCAAAACCAACTTCTGGAGGTCGAAATCCATGAGAAAATGTCTTTGAAAATTGTCGAAAATAGGCCGAAATTTTTATAGGAAGGATATTGAAAAATTTGCAAAAAAAACAAAAAATTCTGGCATATACTGTTGACTTCAAAAGCATAGCGTGTTTATGCTCTCGGCGTGAGATTAAAAATTTTAGGTTTGGAAATAATTTTTTTTATTAAATCCAAAAATTGCAATATTTTAGTGTGATACATATTTTGGAAAAGAGGAAGAAGCTATCGACGAAATGAGGCCGAAGCTAACTTCGAAAAAAATTTTAAATTAAAATATCGAAAATTGAAAAATCTAAAATTAAAAAATTAAAAAATTGAAAAATCGAAAAGTCTCAAAGAAAAATCAAAAAATTGGAAAATGGAAAAATTTAGAAAACTGAGAAATCTAAGGAAAATTGAAAAATCGAGAAACCTAAAATTCGAAAAGTCGAAAAATGTACTCAACTTAAAAATTAGAAAAAATTGAAAAAAGCAAACTGAAAAATCAAAAATTTAAAAATTCGAAAAATTGAAAAATCGAAAAGTCTGAAAGAAAAATCGAAAAATTGGAAAATGGAAAAATATTGAAAATTGAAAAATCCAAGAAAAATTGAAGAATCGAAAAAATGAAAAATTCAGTAATTAAAATGTTGAAAAATGGGAAATCTAAAAATCGAGAAACCTAAAATTCGAAAAAACTAAAAAATTGAAATTGAAAAGTAAAAAAAAAATAAATCAAAATATCGAATTGAAAAATCTAAAATAAAAAAAATCAAAAAATTTTGAAAATTGAAAAATCTAAGGAAAGTTGAAAAATCGAGAAACCTAAAATTCGAAAAGTCGAAAAATGTACTCAACTTAAAAATTAGAAAACATTGAAAAAATCAAACTGAAAAATAAAAAATTTAAAAATTCGAAAAATTGAAATTTCTAAAAACTGAAAAATGAGAAATGGAAAAATCTAAAATTTAAAAAACTGAAGAATCGAAATATCAAAAAACTCCAGAAATAAAATGTTGAAAACTTGAAAAATCGAGAAACTTAAAAATCGAAGTCGAAAAATGTACAGTTTAAAAAGTCGAAAAAATTGAAAATCCTAAAATTTAAAAATCAAAAAACTGAAAACAAATTTCAAGGAATTGACCCAAATTTTATTAAACAAAATTAAAGAATTCTTAAACAACAATGGATAATAACAGATATTTTCAAAAAAAATATTACTCCGTGGCCATAAATACGCAATTTTTTTGGAATAAAGGCGACGGGATCTAAACCTTGAATTTTTCAGAATTTTTAGATGAATTTTTCAAAAAGAAATTTTTCATTATGTATTCGTATTACCTCCATTATGCAAATTTCGACCCATTCTCGACGATTTTCGAAACTTAACTAAATATTTTCTCTTATAGATTTCGGGTCTCATTTTTTCGATAACTTCAACCTTTTTTCCAGAATTAGTTAATTAATTCAGTGCATTGAAATATCGCAATTTTTAAAAAATTCAAAATATTCCATACAACATGTGCCGAAAGATCTTGCGTCATTTTTGCAAGTAGGTGCATGTTTTCAAGTGCAGTTCGAATTGCAGTTTTTGTTCGGATTAAAGAGGTATCGACTTCAAACAGCCTCGGTTCGGATTACTGGATGTTCAGATGATCGTGAGTTCAATGCGATTTCAAAATTTTGAAATAAAGTACCTCGATCGTGTGTCAGGGGGGGGGGGGCAATTGCACCCATTTTTTTTTACTATATTAACAGGGGGGGGCAATTGCACCCATTGCCCCCCCCCACTGCAGGCGCGGATCCAGGGGAGGGCAATGGGTGCAATTGCCCCCCCCTGGATCCGCGCCTGCATTTAACACAGGTAACCATGGTAACCATTTTTTTTTGGAATCAGTTGGAACGCGCCAACATGTGACGTCACACTTTTTGCATGCATTAACATGGTTTTTATGGTTAAAGAAAAAACAATAATCATTATTGGGGATCAGAATTACGTCCTCTTATTTGTAAACATCATAGTCTCAAATGAGAATCAGTAACGTGGTTCATCATTTCCCAACATTCGAAATCTCCCACTTTTCATGTATAGGATCACTGTCCGGCTAGTAGTAGCGAGATGTAAGAATCAATTCTGAGCACTCCTAACCTCACTTTGGAACAATGAAAGTTAGGTACCATCGTAAAAAAAATCGTCTAGTAGGCCATGAAATTCATTTTTAAAATAATGATAATACTAACGGTGATACAGAACACGCCAGTGTTGCCAACACTTTTTTAACATTAAATTTCAAAGGTTGCTAGACGATTTTTTTCTAGATCATTTAGTACAAGATGATTATCAACATTGTGTGTCAATTACACACATTAAGTAATATTTACCTGTAAAATGTCAAACTCCATTGCTGCCAACAGCACCCTATCCAGATGTTTAAGTCGGTTCCCAACTGACATTTTAGCAATACACTGCTTTGCAAACTGCCCCAATTCAAACGACTTGACAGTAGGCTGTGTAAAAAATAACCACGCAGCTAACAATTCATACCACGTTTCACAATACTGCTGAATTTCACCCCAAGCCACTTCATTACCAACTGTCAACTGCAAAAATTAAAAATAAAACTTAAATTTCCAAACCCTGCAAAAGCCACCTTCATAATCAAATTTAAATTGTAACAAGATATGAACAATTTAGCGTCTATTTTAGACTGCACATCCACAACCCAGTGATTCCACTGCAAATTAAACTCAGCAACTGAAGTCCCACTGAACATCTAAAAATCACCAGTTAGATCGAGAATCAAAGTGTGACAAACCAACATTATAGACAGGCATTGCTCGAAGGCACTGATCCACAACTTTGAATGCTTGAGTATCAGAATCAGAGTGTAGTCTCAACAGGGCTCTGACAACTTTAACCCGTCCCTGCAACAATGACCCTATCACAGTTTCCCAGTAATCAGGATGTGACTCAAGTCCACCCAAATCTCCAGCTAACATAGTAGCGGCGTTTCTTTCATATTTCGGAAAGTGGAAGCGCACCCAATCCAGTAAATGCGGCAACACAATGTTACCTAAAACCAAAACCATAAACACCTCACTTAACATTAAAAACACCTACCGGGAACAGCATCAACAAACAATATTTCACACAAGTGCCAAATACACTCCACTGAATAAAAAATCGTGATGTAATTTTGCAACTCTTCCCTGTAGTCGCCGTCCGCTCGCATCACCTCGTCTTGTAAATTCTCCAAACAAGCCCTAATAATAGATCGATATTGGCGACTCAGTTTCAATAATTCCGCCTTGTGGTCGCCCTCCCCCGTCACCAAACTCTGAAGAGTCAAAAAAGTACCGTTCGCTTCATTCACGAGCTTACGCAGAATTGGTTTGAACAGTATAATGTCCGGTCTCAACTGAAACACAGACGCGTCTGAGGGGGCGAAATGACTGACTTTGTCGACACCCGAGGCCACTTTCTGGTGAGGGAACACCCCGAATTCGTTGATGGACAACCACGAAGCGGCTACTCCCGCTCTGTGGCACAATTCGTTCGGGACAAGCTAAAATTTAAATTTGAAAGGAAACATAACCTCAAAAGTTTATTACCGCTTACGAATGTTTTTGCCGTCTTGTCCATTGCTGCGGGTTAACTTTGAGCAAGTGTAATGATTATGCGATGGTTCTCACTGTAAAATTTAGTTTTGTTGTAGATTTTCACTAATAATTAGACTTAAAAATTAAAAAGCCGCTTGGTCCAGTGGGGGTTTTGGTTTTATACGAAACTGCGGACAGTGTTTTTTTTTAAATCGTTTTTGGTGGCCAACCTGAAATTTGAATTGAAAAAAGGCGCGATTTTGGCGGGAGTTTTACTCAGATGTTTCCAGCTCGTTGGTTTTCTTTTTGACGAAGTGTTTCATAATGCAGTCTTGTTCTTTTAGTATGATAGTGTCAATGCTTTGTATGTCTTCTTGTTTTTTTCTGAGCTGTATTTGTTCTGCGAGCAAGGTGTCAGCGAGGTGTTCTTGTTCTTTGAAGCATTCGATTAGTTTTTTCCATTTCTTCATCAAGCGGAAGTTCTCTGACAAAGTATGATGATTTGTTTTTATACATATTTACAGATAATATATCAAACCTCTAGCTTTATTGTATCGGTCATTTTTTTTCCCCATACGCACTAGTTGATTCTTCATTTGGTGTCGCACGCTCTGGGACTCATAAAAAAGCGTAATGTAGTTAGAAAACATGTTAAGATATGTCAAAAAATTGTTGATATTTTCGTCGCTAGTTAACTTATTTATTATTAAATAGTGAGTGATAAACCAGTCCATCATCTACCAACCGCTTATTATAGCATAATCATAATTTAACTTAGTTAATTTACCCTGAATTCTGTGCACGTAATTCCTAAAAGTGCGTGACTCACAGCCACTTGTTTTACCAGTTCAAGGGCTTCGTTAATTAGCCCCTGCCCAAACGAGTTCAAAATCAAATCATGCAGATATAACATTTTCACGAAGTGGACGATCATTTTTCTTAAAGATGGTGTTGGTAGCACGTGTTCAACCTGTTCTACTCTACTCTGGCTTGACTTAACACTCTTAGCACTCTTAGGTCGAATCAGGCCCCACTTTTCTGCCACTTCGTCCGGCATGTTCAGCTCTCTAAACCCACCAATTAAATTACAAAAATATCATAGAAACATATACCCAGTGTCGAGGTCGCCAATCATTTGTCCCATTTGTCGTTTTAGCACTTCAAATACACCCATTGTCATTTTTAAAACCATCGGCGTCAAATCGTTAACAGTTAAATTCTCCTGCCTTATGTAGACACTTTGCATGTGACTCCAATTGAACTGTTCACTTGAAGTTGCCGAAGCCGACTTTTTTAGAGACAGGTGAAAAGATGGAGATGTGCACACGGACGGAACGGTCACCGAGACGGAAGTTTTCGACTCTTTGGGTGCAGAAAATATTTTGCTTGTAGTGCGTTGCCTCTGTACCTTATTACCCATTACCAAAATTTAAATGACATTCAAAAAATAAAAACAACGTCAAATAAAAGTCAATTTATTTACCCTATATTTCTAACCAGAACATACTTATTCTTTGAATATATCACTAACGTTTATTTTAACTTTGTCGCGACTCTCCTGCGCTTGTGCTTCTTTAAACGCACTACTTAAGCTAATTTCATCTTCAGCTTTTCTACTTTCTTGGTCTCTTTTGAGTAAATCTATAGCTTCCTGGTAAATTTGACTGTCACTGGCTGTCCCGTCATACTGAGCCTCGACGGTCTTGTATATTTGGATAAACCTCTGCGTTATAGTTTTGTGTTTACTGTCAAGAAAATTTGTGGTCCCTACATTTTTATTATTTTTGTGAAACACTCTAAAAACGTTTGTTGATCAGATTTTACAAAACGACTCAATCCTTACGCTCTAATTTTATCTTCTTCATAAAAGATGTTTTTCAGTGGCAAATTAGGCGCGGGACGATCAAATTTGGGTTCTTCTTTGGGTGGAAAAGCCTCGTAAATGTCATACCAGAGAGGGCGATCTTCCCATTTTAGAGCCCCAGATTTAATTAACCCAGTAACTCTGTAATTCGTCAGTTAGCTAGTGCTTTCTACGTGCTTGAAATACCTTGTGTAAATAGTCCCAATCTTTTCTAAGCGACTTTGTGCCATTTTTTAGCCTTGGTTATAAAAATATAACCTCAAATAATAAATCCGGCAGGTGCGTCACCAATACAGCAAAAAAAGTCCCTAATATTTGAATGTAAGGTGACTTTTCTAGATAATATATAGTTTTAATTTAACGCAAAATTATCACACTTTGACTCATTTTAGATGTATTTTTCATTTTTCGCCTAGTATTTATCAAACTACGTGCATCATATTAAAGTCTTGTGACTTTCGTTGCAGGTGTTGGTAGACAAACGTCAAATGTCATTTTCGTTTTACAAAACGTGACTTTTCTTCCGGTGAATAAATTTCTTATAAATCGTAAAAAACATGGTTAACATAACCGAAAACCAAATTCGCAATATTGGCAAGGTACTTGTAGACGAAAAGCGACCATTAAAGGAACGCTTTCGTGCTCTTTTCACCCTACGCAATCTAGGGGGCCCAGTCTCCATCGAATGCATCAAAAACTGCTTCAGTGACAGCTCAGCCTTACTAAAACACGAACTAGCGTACTGTTTAGGCCAAATGCAAGACCCGCTCGCCATTTCCACACTAAAACAAGTATTAGAAGACTCGAAACAGGAACCAATGGTTCGCCATGAAGCAGGTACCAAATTTATTTCTTTATTAATTTTTTTTCTTACAACTCACAAATTGAATTTCAGCTGAAGCTTTAGGCGCGATTGGATCACCAGAAGCCCTTGATATTTTACAAAAATACAAATCAGACCCTGTGGTGGAAGTGGCAGAAACTTGTGAACTAGCCCTCGAACGAATAAAGTGGCTTCAAGGCCCTGAAAACACGAACACGGACGTGAAAAGCCCGTACAATTCAGTTGATCCGGCGCCCCCGGCGCCTAGTAGCAACGTAGACGAACTTAAAGCCGTTCTTTTGGATGCGAATGCGTCTCTGTTTGAGCGGTACAGGGCGATGTTTTCGTTGCGAAATTTGCGGAGTCAGGAGGCTGTTGTGGCGCTGGGGGCGGGTTTAAAGTGTGGAAGTGCGTTGTTCAGGCATGAAGTGGCGTTTGTTTTGGGGCAGCTGCAGGATGAGGTCGGGGTGCCTTTTTTGAGAGAGAGTTTGGAGGATTGTAGTGAGAATGAGATGGTGAGGCATGAGTGTGCGGAAGCTTTGGGGGCTATTGCGACTGAGGATTGTATAAATGTTTTGAATAAGTATTTAGGGGATGATAAGAGGGTGGTTAAGGAGAGTTGTGAGATTGCGTTGGATATGTGCGAGTATGAGAATAGTCCGGAATTCCAGTATGCGAATGCGTTGCAAGTTGCATAAGTTAAATAAATTTACAAACGTGATATTTTATGTTGTATATGATTTAATAAACGAGATTTATTTGTTTTGTGTTTCTTATTTTTCCAAATACCCATAATGTCCAAAACACTGAATTCGAGTTGGCTGTGAGAAAAGTTATAGAGGTGGTACTACTGCACAATTGACTAGGCAAAATCTAGCCCCGCCCACCCGCCCGATCTCAATTGTGATGATTTTTTTTATTCGTCGTGAGCCATGAAGGCGGAGCTTAACCGCAAAATCCTTATTTTTCTACGAGAAATTAAAAACATGTTTTTAAGTATCGTATTGTTCAAAAAATACTGTGTATATTAAGAAAAAAATAAAGCCAAAGATTAGGCCCCACTCATACCGGCCTCGATCTCAATTCTCAATTGTGATGAATTTTTCATTTGTTGCCAGATTGAGGGGTGGGGCTTAATTGCGAGATCCATATTTGTTTAGAAGAATTTACCATTTTAAACATGTTTTAATTTTTTTTTTCTGAAAAGACGACTACGTATATTAAGAAAAAAGCAAAGTATAAACCCCGGCCACCCTCCCTCTCCCAAATAAAAAAAAAATCATCACAATTGAGATGGGGTGGGCGGGCGGGGTTTATATTTTGCCTTTGAACAACACGATACTCCAAAACATGTTTTCAATGTCTTGTAAAGAAATAAGTATTTTGCAGTTAAACTTCACCTCTTTGGTTCATGGCGTATAAAAAAAATCATTACAATTGAGACAGGGCGGGTGGGCGGGCATACATTTTGCCTTTTTGTTTTAATATGTGTAGACTTCTTTTCACAACATGAAATTTAAAACATATACAAAATGGAAAATTTGTATAAGGAAATATCAATTTTGCAATTAGGCTCCGCCCCATAATTGCAAAATCCATATTTCCTTGCAAAAATGTACCATTTTAACCATGCTTTAAGTTTCTTGTTGTGAAAAGATGGCTATGTATATTAAGAAAAAAAGGCAAAATATAAGCCCCGCCCACCCACCCTATTTTTATTCTGACGATTTTTTTTATTCGTCGTGAGCCGAGGGGTGGAGCTTAATTGCAAAATCGATATGTTCCTACAAAAATTTACCATTTTAAAGTGGGATTTATAAACTTGCTGTTGACTTTAAAATTCCCGTTGCAGTTGCTGTTGCCGTTGACGTTGCTTTTGGAGCTGAAAACTGCCATTTATAAACTCCGTTGCCAAGTTGAAGTCGATAGTAACGTTGATGTACAACTTTTGCCGTATTTAAAGGGGTTGTAGAAAAAAGGTGGAGGATTTAATTTGATTATTACAGTTTCGGCCAGAAAATCTTGCGCAGTATTTTTTTGTCATTTCAAGAAAACACGACGTTGTCTATGCTTTATTGTCATAATGACTGACACTTTTAAAAAATAAATTTTGACATACGTCATCAATTCATCATCCACATTCTAGTCTACGTCAAAATGACAAACATAGCAAATTTGAGGTTATAAGCAGGGAGTTATAAGTACGTAAAGCCTGTTTTAGAGCTTATGTCACTGGAATGATAGAACTGCCCAAGATTTTGTGGCCGAAACTGTACAAAAATTTACCATTTTAGACATGTTTTAAGTTTCTTGTAAGTCTACACATTCACATATTAAGAAAACAAAAGCAAAATAAAGCCCCGCCCACCCGCCCGATCTCAATTGTGATGTTTTTTTTTATTCGTCGTGCGCCATGAAGGTGGATCTTAACTGCAAAATTCTTATTTCTCCACGAGAAATGAAAAACATCTTTTTGATTATCGTGTTGTTCAAAAAATACTTTGTATATTAAGTAAAAAATAAAGCCAAAGATTACCCCCCACCCATACCGGCCCCGAACTAAAGAGTAATGAAGTTTTCATTCGTAGGCCGACCTAAGGACGGAGCCTAATTACAAACTCCATATTTCCTTATAAAAATTTACTATTTTAAACGCGTTTTGAGTTTTTAAGAATAAAAAAAAATCATCACAATAGAGATGGGGTGGGTGGGCGGGGTTTATATTTTGCCTTTTTTTTAATATGTGTAGACTTCTTTTCACAACATGAAACTTAAAACATATTCAAAATGGAAAATTTGTGTAAGGAAATATCGATTTTGCAATTAGGCTTCGCCCCATAATTGCAAAATCCATATTCCCTTGCAAAAGTGTACCATTTTGACCATGTCTTAAGTTTCTTGTTGTGAAAAGATGGCTATGTATATTAGGAAACAAAAGCAAAACATAAGCTCCGCCCACCCACCCTGTCTTAATTCTGACGATTTTTTTTTATTCGTCGTAAGCGGAGGGGTAGAGCTTAATTGCAAAATCGATATGTTCCTACAAAAATTTACAATTTTAAAGTGGGATTTACAAACTTGCTGTTGACATTAAAGTTCCCGTTGTAGTTGCTGTTGTCTTTTGGAGCTGAAAATTGTAATTTATAAACTCCGTTGCCAAGTTGCGGTTGATAGTGTAATTTTGATGTTCAACTTTTGCCGTATTTAAAGGGGTTGTAGAATAAGAGTGGAGGATTGAAGTTGATTACTACAAAAAGTTGCCCTTTTAGACATATTTTAAGCTTCTTGTTGTCGAAATAAGTCTACACATACTAAGAAAAAGAGACAAAATGTAGCCCCGCCCACCCACTCTGTCTCAATTCTGATTATTTTTTTATTGGTCGTAAGCCGTTTACCTTGTAAATATTTTGTTGATTATGGTGTCCATCATATAAATTGTCTGATGTCCAATCTTAACCTCAGATAAGAATTCTTTGCTGTTTAAAATTTAAAGCATATAAATGAAATTGAGATAAATAACACAGAAACACGTGGCGGAAGCGAAGTGCGCGGTTCCTTGTCGAGCTGGCGGTCGCGCCATCTGACAGTCAGGGGAGTGGTCGGGATGACGTGACGCTCGCGGCTTGGCCCAATAGCCGGGATTTCCAATCACGAGTTTGCGACCATAACAGCCTGTTGTCGCTCGGCACGTTTCTTGGTAATAGAGGGGTGCTGGGTGACAGTGCTTGCCGATTGAATAGAATCACCGTCGTGGCGGGAGAACAGCCACAACCAGGAGCCCCAACTTCCCCTCGTGCTACAACAATCCCTATGGGTAATTCTGCTGTGTTCTAGAATGAAATTGAGATAGCTCATTGCCACACTATTATAACGCTCTGGTGCGGCTACCGTTGAACAGTTTTTCATTAACAATTTTGTTCTCTTGATAATTACAAAATCCATAATTCCTTGCAAAAATGTACCATTTTAACCATGTTTTAAGTTTCTTGTTGTGAAAAGATGGCTATGTATATTAAGAAAAAAAAGGGCAAAATGTTGCCCCGCCCACCCACCCTGTCTCAATTTTGATGATTTTTACTTCCCGAGCGTAAGCAAAGGAAGTATTGTAATCGAGTCCGTCGGCCGACTCTCTACTTTTACGTTTTCTCGATCTTTCATGACCCCTAGAAGACGAAGAAATAGGTCTCCCATTTCCGTCTGTCTGTCCGTCTGTCCGTCCGTCTGTCCGTCTGTCCGTCTGTCCGTCTGTTGTCACGGATTTTTATTAGACAGATAATCTCCGAAAGTACTCGACCGATTGTTGTGAAATTTTGTACTTATATTAAGAATATCATGTAGATGGTAAAACGCTAACCAAAATTTGTCGAATCATCCCCACCACTAAAGCGATGACGTCACTTCAAAATTGTACATAGTAAATGGGTTTTCAATTGTATAAAATAACATAGTCCTACACATGTAGTTTACAACTCTGAATCGACTTTTCACCCGAAACGTCCAGATTTTTGGAAAAAAAATCAAAATTATAAAACAACATTTTGAAATTTAATTTTTAATCTGCTAACCAGAATGCTTTGAAATGTTGCAGATGTTTTAAGGCTATAAAGAGCATCATAAATCTTTAGTCAAAAAATATTTGCTTATCCCCTCCAAAAACTTGATGACGTCAGCTCAAAAGTTTGTGGAATAAATCATATCTAAAATGTACAAAATATGATGAGTCTGTACTTGTGAACTATCACTCCATTAATATTTTTTGGATTTGCATATACAGGGTGACTCAAAAAAATTAATGAATGCGTAAATATATTTTATTGATTTAATCAGGAACTACAAAACCGAATGCTCTGAAATCTTGCAGATGTTTTAAGGTCATAAAGAGCATAATAAATGTTTAGTCAAAATATATTTGCTTATCCCCTCCAAAAACTTGATGACGTCAGCTCGAAAGTTGGCCGAATAAATCATATCTAAAATATACAAAATATGATGAGCCTGTACTTGTCATTTATCACTCCATTCATATTTTTTGGATTTGCATATACAGAGTGACTCAAAAAAATTAATGAATGCGTAAATTTATTTTATTGATTTAATCAGGAACTACAAAACCGAATGCTTTGAAATCTTGCAGATGTTTTAAGGTTATAAAGAGCATAATAAATTTTTAGTCGAAATATATTTGGTTATCTTCTACAAAAAACTGATGACGTCAGCTCAAAAGTTTTCCGAATAAATCGTATCTAAAATGTACAAAATATGATGAGTCTGTACTTGTGATTTATCATTCCATTCATATTTTTGGATTTGCATATGCAGGGTGACTCAAAAAATTAATGAAGGCGTGAATTTATTTTATCGATTTAATCAGGAATTACAAAACCGAATGCTTTGAAATCTTGGGAGGGAAGTACTGTCTAAACTCTTTAGACCAATTTTTTTATTAGTCGTAAGCCGAGGGGCGGAGCTTAATTGTTAAATCCTTATTTTTCTACGAAAAATTACCATGTGAAATGTTGTTGAGTACCCAATCGTGTTATACATACAACGAAAACTAAACGTATTAATTAACAAAAGAAAATCAAAAGAAAAGCTCCACCCATCCGTCTCGATCTCAATCGTGATGAATTTTTTATTCGTTGTCAGACCGAGGGGCAGAGCCTAATTGCAAAATCGATACTTTCCTACAAAAATTGACCATTTTAAACATGTTTTAGCTCTCTTGTTGTGAAAAGAAGACCACACATATTAAGAAAAAAGGGC